AGCCATTCTCAGGGTTTTTCCTTTTATGAACCAATGTCGTGGAACACAGCCCTCCTGGTATAGCATGGGTATTCACACAGGGTATTCGCACCTTAATCAGAACAGTTTGACCAAGACAGTAACAAGACTGGGCTCGCTGACATTCACACCCAGGAGTAGGGTGTGGCCGGGTCATTAGACCCCCCCCACTTCTGATTATAGCCACTCCCTCCTGCAAACTGCACTCCCAGCTCTAACACAGTCGAGGGAGTATATGGGACAGAAGGTTAGTGGGGGCAGACTCCATCTGTGCGGCTTTCAGGAGGTCGTTAGCCATGCCAAGGTGGGACTTTCCAGTGGTGCATCTGTTTGAGAATTACCTATGCTCCCCTAAGTCCAGTAAAGTCACTGGACTAGACAGGTGGGTCCTTTGGTTCATGTTAGGAATTTTCCTAACGCAAGATCTCTGCCGACACAAAAATCCCAATTAAGCCAAATTAAAAAATATCCAGGTTTAATGGGATTCCTGCGCTCTCTGGTGGCTCCGAGGGGGAATCGGGAAGCTGCTAATGTGACCATGTAGGGTAGGGTGGGGGAAAGAGACCATGAGGAAATTTTCTGGGGAAGCAGTTTAAATAGACTGGGGGAGTGGTCAAGATTTTGTCGGGCTGTCTTGACCCTACTCCGGGGAGGGGTCAAGGCTTGGTGGACACTGGGACAGGGCCTCCAAAGATGGAGGCCAGAGACGGGACTTATAGTCCATTGCTGCTGTCCTATCTGCAATGAACGGACATTATTCTTGTCTTCCTCAGAAAAACTAAAACAGCACTTGGTACCCAGACAGACAGAGAAAGGACAAAACCAAGGATGAATTTTGGAGGAGCAGCTGCAGGGGCCTTGCTGTAGGGTGGTACAACATGCAACCGAAGCTAAGCTGTCTGAGGGTGGCACAGTGCCCAGGGGCAAGTCCTGCAGTGGCTCCCTCCACGAGGGGTAGATTAGCATGTGTCCTTGGTGCAGGTTGCATTTACATTGTTCCTGCTGTGGGCGATAAGGCATGCAAAGGAGGCTGAGTTGTCTGCCCAGAGGGAAAGCAAGCATGGAAAATCCATGAGGCAAATCCTGGCGGTGCCATCTTCCTGAATGTGTTATGGCATTCATTCTTGATGTGGTCCAGCAGGGGTGTGTAGGGAGATCTCAGAAGTGACTGGCGGAAAGGAAAACATTGCGGATCTTGAAAGTGGCATGTATAGGGTGTTTATAAGAGAACCATGGGGAAGCTGCATTGCCCTTGCTATGGGTGATAAGTCATGCAACTGTTAGCCCAGGAAACTTCTCTGCTTGAAGAACTAACAGCGACAAGAAAGACATCACCACATTAGCCTCCCATCTGGTAGGTAAACAGTGAAGGAGAGGATAGTTTACCATTTTTTACAGCTGGGGGAGGTAAGGAAAAGAGACTGTAAACCAAACCTATTGGAACCCAAAAGTTGTAGCCCAATGGGAAGAACTGAATAGAAATATGAATGGGGAGATGTAGTGGTGAGGATACCCAGGGGACTGGGCAGGACACAGGTGGTTTGTGGTGCCCAGTTCACCAGATCAGATAGGAGCATGTTTGCCAGAGAGCTTAAGGAAGGTAATTCAGCAGGGGCCTTAGGACTGGTATAGCCCCATAATGGCTCATGATCTTTATGAGGTAGGAGGGCCGCCGGCAGATCTAAATGATTTATACTGGCAGATAAACTGCAATCACAGAATAGAAACAATCCAGAGGGAGAAAAAAAGAAAAAAGAAAAAAAAAAGAAAAAGAAAAAGCAGACACAGGAAACATGTGTGGGAAGGTTTGTGTTGAGATGAAGTTTCTAGGGCAAAAAGAGACAGCTAAATTCAGTGTTCGTAGTCTCTGAAGGCTTTTAGGTCTGAACAGTGGTTCACAAAGGGGTAAAGAGAAGAGTAACTGAGAGCAGAGCAAATGAAAATGATTAAGTTTGACCCAGCAGGGACAATCACCCCTTCAGAGTGTGCTCTGTACATTCTTTCCTGCCACAAAGTGCTGTGGGGGTGGAGACTGTTTGCCCAGCCAGGCCTTTCAACAGCCAGGTGTGGATAATGGAGAGGCAGCAACCCCCCCCCCCCCCCCCCCCCCCCCCAGAGCCTGTTAGGCCCAGGGACTGGTTGGCCCGGCAGTGAGGCATAGTCCCACGCCTCCTTGGCATCAGACCAAGGAAATTAGCGTGTGCGAGGTCCACCGAGCTCCTGGGTAGTACCCCTTGGTAGCACCCCATGATGAAGAAATGGGATGGCTCGCGGATAGACTAGAGGACAGGGATCAAACAGGTTGTACCCTCCCACCTACGCCATGGTGTCCAACATTGCTCTTTCGAAAAAACAATTTCTACAGATGTTTGGGATCTTTTCACGTTGTTTTGGACTTTACTATTTTTTTTTTTTTTTTTTTTTGGTTTTGAGACATGATGTCATGGGTCCCAGTCTGGTCTCTAACTAGCTAAGAATGACCTTGAACTTTTGATTATTCTGCCTCCCCCCCCCCTCCTGAAAGCTGGAATTATAGGAGTGTATTACCAAGTCTGTTTTGTTCTATTTATTTATTATTTATTTATTTATTTTTGAGGCAGGGTTTCTCTGTGTAGCTTTGGCTTTTCTGAAACTCACTCTGTAGACCTGGCTGGCTTTGAACTCACAGAGACCCACCTCCTTCTACCTCCTGAGTGCTGGGATTAAAGGGGTGCACCATCACTACCGGGCTTCAAGTCTGATTTTGGTGGTGCTAGAGGCTGTGCATGCTAGACTTGGATTCTACCGACCGAGCTACATCCTGAGCCCCTAATTCTTCTTCTTTTTTTTTTTTTTTTGGTCTTAAGACAGTTGGCACTTTCTTGGTGGGTCTTCAGAGATCTGACCATATGTAAAAGGACTTTACTATATAATTCTAGCCTCTGAATACCCCACAGACTCAGCAAAGCATCTGAAGTGCAGGCAAGTGCACTTAAGGACCCAGAGTGGGAATTTACCCTGCACAAAGTGCAAGGACCATATACAACTGTGAAGTTCTGAGTTTTATGGGTTGGATGACATGCAGATGGTACCCAGTAAAGTGATTTAAGAAAATCCTCCAACTCCTGTACCTGCAAATATTTGCGAAGTAAGGTTAGCCAGCATGGAGGGAGGACACTTCCGGAAGCTGGAAGGTCACTGAACGAAAATCTCAGTGTCAGGGGTGGGCTGTTTCCCTTTGATTGTCAGCCAGGGTGGTCCCTGACATCCCAGAACAATGCAGGCTATTGCCGTGGCTGTTGGCTGCACATAGGAACTAGCTGGTACAATGCTGTTGCTGAGGATCCCACATGCTAATTGCAGGCCATGCGTAATTCGAATGGGTTGAGCTGAAAGCTCCCTTCTTGCAGACGTGTTTGGAAGTGCTGGGTGTTGTATAGGCTGCTAGGGGGAGAACTGTCACAAATGGTCCTGCTCCTTTACCTGCATGCCAGGCAGATGTGCCCCTGGTACAACTAGCTTTCTGATTGTCTTGAAGTACTGCTCTGCAGGAAGGGACTCCTATTGATATTGTAAGATAAAAGCCTTTACCCGGGAGGTCATAGGACCCTAGTATGGAAACCACTTCTGTAGTTAAATGGCTATGTGCCTGTCAGATTGTCTGCTAAACATCTATGTTTATACCTGTAGATGACTGAGTTGTCAGTGTTAGTGGTACAGAGGATCTTTTTATTTATTCATTTATTTTTTCAGTGAGTAAAAGTTACTGAGAAGACCCATCAAGCTGCAGAGAGTTAGGTGGCTGTTGCTATGATACAGTGGTCCAGTGCTCAGGCACAGTGGAAGCCAATGACCAAGCATCTGTCACCTCCGCCAATGCTCAGAGAATAGAGGCGCAGAAGAGAGGGGTGGAAAGAAAGACTGAGGAAGACTGGAGTGCTGTGTACCCTTCTTCAGTGCAAAACATGGCCTTTTCCACCTTAAAACAGCGTCCTCAACTGCACAGGCTTTCAGGAGTATCTATAGGAGAAATCCACTTAGTTTTAGGAAGAGGAATAAATTTATGCCAGGATGGGACTTTTCTGCGGTGCAGCTGTTTTGAGGTCATCCACACTAAAAGTTACTCTTCACCAATGCTTCTCTAAGCATGCCCTGTAAGTTCATTGGTTCACCAAGGGTACGTTCACTTCCGTGGTCTGTTGTTGGTGCCGTTTAGAGTAAACAGTTATTTGCCTTGTATCCCTTGGAAAAGCTAACACAACAGCCATATATCTGCATTAAGCTTGATTTTCTTCACATACACCAGTCAACGCAATATTCAGTACTACTAATCAAATATGAAATTATGTTTGAGATAGGGTCTCGCTATGTAACCCTAGTTGGTCTCGAACTCAAAGAGATCCTTTTGCCTCCACATCCTGAAAGCTGAGATTAGAGGCGAGCACCACCACGCCCAGTCCTAAATCATTTTAAAGAGCGTTAACAAAATCTTCATATAATCCTCAAGGCAGTGTCATTCTTCCTCGCTTCAAAGGATAAGCCGTTGTTCTCTGCGATGGAGTCTATTGGTCCATCTGCATTTCTGGGTGTCCCGAGGCAAAAGCGTCACCCTGAGGTCCCCTCTCCTCGCCACGTTTCCCGGTGTGAACTGCGGCCACTACCTAACGGCTCTTTCTACCTGAGGGAGAGTCAGTGAGGGTGCAGTTAATCCCATCCCATTCTACAGACGTGACAGCGGAGGCTCCGAGTCACCCAGGGAAGATGCAGCCGTGGCCACAGGACCACGCGATACTCAGTGCATCGGGTCCGGGGCGGGCGACTGGCAGCCGCCGGCCTCAACGTCCGGGACTTGATCCGGAAACCTCCTTTCCGGTTCCCAAGCCTGCGTTTTCGGAAGTGAGTCACTCTGCCAGCACATAACATGGCCTCCAGCTCATCGACCGCCCCGAACGTCAACGGCGAGGTGGGCGGGACCCGGAAGTTGCCCGGCCGGAGAATGGCGGCCTCTGGGGGCGTGGCTTCCGGCGCTCCTTGCTTGTTAGTAGCCGCGGCTGAGAGCGCAGGCGGCAGCTGACAGGCGCTTTTCTTCAGACGGCTGCGGCTGGAGCCCAGCGAAGCGGGCGGCCTCCAGCTCGCGTCCCCGTGTCCCGGCCCGCGAAGTTCCAGGGCGCCGGGGCATGGAAGAGGGGAAGATGGACGAGAATGAATGGGGTTACCACGGCGAAGGCAACAAGAGCCTTGTGGTGGCCCACGCGCAGGTGAGCGACTGGCGGGCAGCGCGGCTCCGGGCCTCCCCGACGGCTGCGGCAGCCCTGTGCCTAGTACCTTCCAGTGTGGGTCGTGACTCCTCCTCCAGCTTCCGCTCAGGTGGCTCCCTGTACCCCCCAGTATCCCCAGCTTCCTTACTCATCCCCGGCACCCCTGTGTCCGTTGGCCCCCTTTCCTCCTAGTGTCCCTTCTCGGTTCCCCGTCCCCTCAGGACTCTTTCCCGCACCCCGTGGGTGCCGCGTGGCCCCACGCTGTGCCCCCTCCGCTGCCAGACCAGGGTGGGCCAGAGGCTGAGCCCGGATCAGGACTTGGGCAGCACTGACGAAAAGTACCGAGCGCTGTCACTCTCAAGAGCGTGGAGTTCAGCCTGGCAGAGCACGGAGCTGCTGGTAGGAACGGACGCTACCCGCAGGTTCGCATCCACATCCTAAACTTGAACCGGTTTCTTCTTCTTCGTTCAACTTGAAAGGGAGTTTCCGAAGATGGAGTGATTTCCAAGGAGGCGGCGAAGTTAGGGAAGAGAAGCGGTCGGATTTGTGTGCAGCCGCCGATTCTCTGACATCTCGCTGTCTGATACAACCTAGCAGGAATGTGTGGGCTGGGGGAGTGGAAGGCAGGAGGTGTCATGTGAGGAGGCTAATAGCGCAGGGAGTGGGGTGATTCCCAGCGCTACCACTGGCGGAGGAGCCGTAGGCCGCATTCGGAAAGCGCCAGGAATAGCACGCGTTTTGTTTGCCTGAAGTTAAGATTGTACCCACCTGTACTGAGTGTTGAACCCCCCCCCCCCCCCCCCCCCCCATCTAGAGCTTGGGCCTTGAGTCCTAGCTGCCATCTCTGCCCTCCTGGTGGATTTGTTTAGACTGTGGACCAAGGAGGAGAAAGCCTGGAAGGCAGGTTTTTCAGGGCCCTTTGTGACCAAGGAGAACGGCCGGTTTTAAGCGAGATGGAGAGGCTCTCCGCTGCTTTCGGTACTGGGCATGGCATGTCTGTAGTCCTCCTGCCTTGGAGAACAGGTGAACTTGCTTCTCTACTCAGCCTCCCAGGCCTGCTCATCCAGTCCAAGAGAGAGGGAGACTTTTTACCAACTCTCTCCAGTCACGGTCACTTTTTCCGAGCTAGTATCAAAGCCCCCTGTCAGTCCTGCCTCCACTGTAGTAAGTGTGGCGCAGCTCTCCTGTGCTCGATCTGGCAGGAGCTGGATGTGCAGGTGGGGACATCTGCCCTGTCACTGGCCAGCAGCACTGAAAGAAAATGTGCTGTCCTGCCATGTGCACACAGGGAACGAGAAGGAGCCTTTTGTGATGTACAGGTCATGGTGCTCCTCAGCTCAGTGAGGGCCGCAGGAGTTTACAGGGCATGCTTGGGTAGGCTGGAAGGTGAGGAGCCAGGCTGTCAGCAGGTGTGGGCCCTGAGGGGGCTCTTGGGCAGGAACGTGCTGTGTCTTAGCACAGGTCTTCCTCGCTGCCGCCTGAGGGCATGACCCTTGTGCTACCAGCCATACCAGTCAGTGAAGCCTGTGGCCTCCCTGAAGGCCACCACACTCAACTCTCCTAAGGCTGCCTTTACCTTCCTCTTGGTTTTGGCTTAGAATCTGTGAGGTTACTTTACATTTCGATTGTCATCCGTCTCTTAGTTGTCCAGGGAATGTTGTCCTCTGGGCCATGTTGACCACGAGGTGCAGGGGAAACGATGCCCACTCCTGTGGCTATGCCACACTGTCTTTTTCCTTTCTTATTGACAGCAGTAATGTGAAAGACTCGTTAATTAGTCTGCCCAGAAAGAACACTTAGCAAAACTTGCAGAGAACTGCGCACTGCATGTTTGTCTCGTTTAAAAACCTTTCAGACTCTGGAGAGCCTCAGACTATAACTGCAGTGTCTGGGCCCTCTAGGTGCGGACATCAAGCTTTAGGGCCATTTCAGTTTCTCTCTCAGCCTTGTGGGTTTAAATTTTTCTAGTTATATATCGCAATATGAACAGTTTAGATGGTTATTTTATAGTGGTTGGATTAGGTAAAGTAGGCTGATGACCCATTTAATGTGGGGAAATATTAACTAGAAAAAGGAAATTACAGTGTTACACGTGACTAGAAAAAATACATCAAGAATATTACAAATAGTTATCTGTTTACAGTAGTATCATTTGATTGCTTGAGAATGGGTCTCACTATGTTACCCTGGCTGACCTCAAACTCCTTGGCGCAAGCCATCTTTCTTATCCTCCTGAGTAGCTGGCATTACAGGCTGCCAGGCCTGGCTCCTCTTTTTGTTTTAAAAAATATTTTCTGCACTGTGAAAGCCAGAGGTAGGGAGATCTCTGTGAGTTTGGGATAAGCCTGGTTTATCTAGCCAGTTCCAGGCCAGTCAGAGCTACATAGTGAGATTCTGTTTCAAAAAAAGAAGAATCTAAAACTTTTTACATTAACTATATACTCATTAACTATATATTATAATTAGGAAAAAGGAGCTATGGGCATCGTTTAGTGCTAGAATGTGTACTTTGCATGCTTGAGGCCCTGAGTTCAGTTCCCAGCATCACAACTATCCCAGGGTTGAAAAGGACACAGGTGTGAACCATAGTGTAGGTCAGAGTGAAAGGACACAGGTGTGAACCATAGTGTAGGTCATAGTGAAAGAACGTACCACACATTGGTGAGACCCTGAGGAGCCCAAGAGAGCTATGGAGACAGATTCCTAAGGGGTGGTAACCCCAGCAACATGTGAAAAGGACAAACAAGTTTTTTAAAGTTTGTAGTTTTGCACCTAATTTCTGTTCTCATGTGCTTGATAAGGAGAAAATTGGAAGTGAAATAGATATTGTTCACAAAGATGTGTATCACAGGGTTATTAATGATAGCTTAGGTCGACCATCTCTTTCGTGCTGGAGAATTATCCTCCTTTGCAGACATGCTGAAGCACAGAGCTGATATTTTGTTTTCCAACCATGTGGCATATACCCAGACCTTGGGCCTGTCTTCAATATTCACCTAGAACAAGTTGAAAGAGTTTGAACTTTACACTGACATCTCTCAAAGAAAGACAAGTTCTGCACTTGAGATGCTCAGTGGTGGTCCTTCAGATTGGTGCTGTTGAAATGCTTCTTTCTTGGTGGTTTGGTCTGGTCACATCCTGTCTCATTGTGTGTTCACTCTTTATTCTTTAATCTGGTGTTGCTAGGTCAGAATTTATTTCCATATTTCCTTGGGTGATGTTTTGCCTTGTGTTGCCTTGCTAGTGTAAGGACGTGTTTGTCTTTCTACATTTACATTTTCAGAGGTGACCTTTCTCCCTCCCTGACTCCTTCCTGCCTGGTCAAAATTCAGTCAGTTCAGCTCTCAGTACCTTTCTCTGTCTTCAGAGAGCAGTGGCACAGGAGGCTTTTGTGTGTTTAGAGAGCAAGGCTGTTCTTTGCTGGCCCACTGTTGTCATCACACAGTCTGGGTTGGTGGTTCAAGGGGCTCTGGTATTTGTTTGTATTTCTCTGACACCACCTGTGGGTCCTGTGAGCCTTGACTCCTTTCCACACACTGTTGGGGGTCACTACCTATTAGGAGTCACTGAGCTGGCCTGGCCTGTCTCCATAGTTCCCCTTGGGCTCTCAGGATGATATCAATGTGTAGTATAGTACATTCTTTCATTTTGTGACCTTCCTCATGGGTCACATCTGGGTTCTCTTCATTCTGGGTGGATAGATGGCTGGGAGGCTGAGCTAGAGCTACCACCATAGGGTAGGAAGGAGGTTGTACACAGTGCCAGCGCCTACTGCTGCTGATGTCATGGCTGTATCCTTTCTTGCTCTGCCTTGTTTTCTTTGAAGCTGAGGGGTGCTGTTGTGAATGCCTCACCCTCCTGCTTAGCGGGTCCTGGGGATGTGTGTTTGGTTGTGTCATGGAGCTCAGTCGGTTGGCACCTCTTGCCTCTGTTAACTAGCAGACCATGGATGGTTTTCTTATAGGTTGAGAGTCCGTGAGAAAGTTGGTTTCAGGAGACACAACTGTATATTTGTGACATAGGTGGCTCCCACCTGGAAGTGAAGTCATCCTTACAGTTGGAGGGCCTGGGCAGAATGCTGTTTCTGGAACCCAAGGCTGTATCCTAAGGGGTGATAGTCTTTTGTATCCCTTCCCATGACAGTGATCGGAGCTTCCTGGGGTCTTTCATGGGCCCTTTCTTGGGTTATCTTCTCACCACCTTGTCAAAGGATAGTGGCCCCTGGGACATTTGACTTAGACCCCCATTATGGTTTGGATCTTAACTGACCCCCAAAGGCTGTGTTGAAGTCTTGGTCCCCAACTGACAGTGCTGTTGAAGCCTTTAGAGGCAAGGCCTGGTTGAAGGAAGCTAGGTCATTGGATTATAGCTTTGAAGAGGGAGGGTACTGGGGCTCCAGCCTTTTCAAATTCTTGCTTTCTCTTCAGACTGAAATTAGAGAATAGCTTTCCTCTGCCATGTGCTTCCATCATATTCTGCCTTGCTACAGGCTCAAAACAGCCAAGGATGGAAACCTCTGAAACCATGAACCAAAGCAAACCTTTATTTTATTTTTTTATTTGTATGTTGTTTTATTATTTATCATTACTATTATCATTTTATTATTTTTTCTCTTTATTTTTATTTGTATGCTGTTTTGCCTGCATGTATGTCTGTTTACCATGTGTGTGCAATGCCAACAGAGGCCAGAAGAGGGACCCTGTGGCTGGGAACCTAACCTAGGTCCTTTGGGAGAACAGACAGTGCTCTTAGCTGGAGAGCCATCTCCCAGAACCATCTTTCCTCCTTTAAGCTTTTTTTCCCAAATGCTTTGTCATGTGCTATAAAGTTAGTGGTGGTTACATGCCTTTAGTCCCTCTAATCAGAAGCTTCTTTCCCAACTACCGGTTTCCAAATACCTGGCAGCTGCTTCCCAAACTTGGAGGCTTAATATTACTTATAAATGTTCGACCTATAGCTCAGAATTGTTACTAGCTAACTCTTACATTTTAAGTTAACCCATATCCCTTACTTACACTCTGCCATGTGGAAATACCTTTATTAGCACAGCACCTTCATCTCTTGCTCCTTCTGCATCTGGCTGCTGACTCCTGACTCTGGCCTTCTCCTTCCCATCATCCTTTGTTTGGTTGCCCTGCCTGTACTTCCTGCCTGAGTGCTGGCCAATCAGCATTTTATTATACCAATTCAAGTGACAAATCTTTATATTGTACAAGAGGATCATTCCACAGCACTCCCAGCACTTCAGGCAGAGGCAGGCAGATCTCTCTGAGTTCAAGGCCAACCTTGCCTACAGAGCAAGTTCAGGACAGGCTGAGCTATGCTGAGAAACCCTGTTTCAAAAAAAGAAAAAGAAAAAAAAGCTAGCATTCCTTTGAGTTTCATGTTGGAAGGTTCTGTGTAGCCTTTTGTTTCTATTGTTCTGTGGTTGATTCTTTTGCCTCCCCGAAAAATAGAGTAGTAGAAGAAAATGGTCATCACCCCAGAGCTCCCCACTTAGAATATAATTTCTGAATACTTTGATGTTCTTGCTTCCAATCCTTTTCTAGTTACATATCTTTGTTGGTGGCAGGAAATCTCTGGGGCTGTCTATTTTAGTCTCCTTTGGCCACCTCTTCTACTTTGTTTTTGCTAAATGGGTGCTCTTTTGGGGCTGATTTTTCACTTGTTTTATATTGTCACTGGACACTCCCCTGATGGCCTCTACTCTTCACTTTCCGTTGGTTGGCTCTGGTGAGCTGAATGTGTCTGAGCGCTGATACTGACATTGACCTGTAAAGCTGATGACAGGTTTCCTGGGGAGGAGTGGTTGGGTTTCTGGTGACAGTTTCCTTGAAATAGATCCATCACTGGATTGAGATTTTTCTTTGCTGGTAATGGTTTGAGCTACCTGATGGGAAGGGAGAGAAACTTCCTGTAGCTGATAGAGAGGTTGAGCTGCTGTACATGGATGTGATGGCCAAGGACACCTGTGGAGGGATGGCTTAGTAATGGAGAACCAGTGGGCCACTATGGGCTTTGCTGCCTAGGCCCCTTAGTTGACAACTCAGCAGCCATATGGAGCTGGACAACTGGAAATGTGATGTGCAGGATTCAGGTCTGCCTCCAAACTCTGTTCCATTGTACATGACCTTGACCTTAAGGGTCAAAACCTTAATGCCTGGGCTTCCCTTCAGGCCTGGCTTTCCACATTTTATACTTGGGATGCAGGTGCCCCACCTCAAGGGGAGAGGTGGTGGGGAGTTTGTAGTCTGGGGGTGCATACACTCTGGTGCTCTGCATGTGCTGTTTGCAACAGTGAGAATGCTGATGTCACTGGTGCTGGGGAACAGTGATGCTATTTATGTTGTCAGAGAGGAGCCAACAATGTTTCTTCCTAGGAACTTTTCCCCCTCCCAGATGGTCTCATTACATAGCCCTGACTGGCCTAGGACTTGCTCTGTGGACCAGGCTGCCGTCCTTCTGTCTCAGCTTCAAGTACTGGGACTGTAGGTGTAAAGGTATAAGCTACCTTACCCAGATACATTAACTGTTTTCTCTTGGTAGGTTAGAGACTTGCTTTCTGAATTAATTTATGTTGTTACTCATTTTTTGTGTATGTTAATAATGCAGAGGAAATGTATAGTTTCCATTTGTAAATAGGCCAGCTCTCTTGTGTTTATCAGGAACACAGGGGCAGGAACCTTGGAAATCTGAGTTCATATTAATAAGATGTAGCATGAATAATAAAAACCCAGAGACAGACATTGAGGTTCAAACTGAAGATCTGAAAAGCAAAACAGTCAAGTCACTAGAGAAGTCTTACCTTTACCAAGGCTGACTGAGCAACTGCAGACTGAGCCCTGAGCCTGTCTCCTCCAGTCTTATATTCCCGTCTAGTGCTGGAATTAAAGGCAAGTGACTCTTAGTACTAAGATTAAAGGTGTAGGCCGCCACCACCTATCGTTTCTGCATTGACCTTGTGGCCTTGAATTGATGGAGAACCACCTGCCTTTTTCTCCCAAATCCTGGGATTAAAGGTGTGTGACACCACTGCCTGGGCTCTAGTGGCTTAGTTTTACCTTCTGATCTTCAGGCAAGCTTTATTTATTAAAACATAAATACAATATCCCTATAATAAGATGCTGCTATGTGTGGAGTCAATGAGTTTCTGTTGTTGGCATTTGTGTGCATAGGCCCCCTGAACTGGTTTGTCTGAGGTTACAGTGGGGAGTTCCTGTGATAGAAAGGCTTGAGTGACTTGCCTAGCACCACCCTTCCTGGGCCTGCCTGGCTACAAAATTCTCTTGTGAGGCTTATTAGTTCCCTGGGAAGTAGAGAAAGACCCTGTTTTCCTCTGGTTTCAGTAGAGCTCTGAGAAAATCAACTTGGCTTGTCAGGGCTCCCTATGTGTTTCAGAGTGAGGTTTCCCACACATGTAGGGCAGGGCAGTGGGGGCTCTGTCCTCACCGATTATAGGGTATCAGGGTGTCCTGTGTCCATGGGAAACAAACTCATCCTGTCGTTGACATACACTGTCTTAATTACTGGAGGGACTATAATCAGACAGGGAATGAGCAGAACAGCACTATTGGACACAGGTAAGGAGAAAATCAACTTTTAGAAGAGAGTTTGTAGAAGCTGATTATAATTATCTTTCCTGCAGATCTACTTTCTTTTTTTAAATTTAGATGGAATTTTACTTCTATTAAAGTGATCATTAACCCAGTGATTCCCAAGCTTAATTGGTGATGCCTGCCTTGAACATGAGGAGGGAGCAATTCTAGCTTGTGTGCTTTGGGTTTCAGCTCTGCAGGCCAGGATAAGCATCCAGATCTACAGTTGATTAGCAGTGTATCCACTGCATGGCATTGGTTGGCAATGGGAATTCAGTAGGAGGAGTTGGCAAGGTTGTGCTTGGCGATGCTTGCCTGTAGTTCTCACATAGTACCAGCTACTTGGATGGCTGAGGCAGGAGGATCACTTGAGCCTAGAAGTACAAGGCTAACCTGGGCAATATAGCAAGGCCTAGACCCTTTAAAAAACCTTTGAGTTGTTGAGGCCTTCTCAGTGATATTGAGAAGGAAGGGAAGATTATATGAGAGGAGCTGGAGGGAGGAAAGGGAGAAATTATATTTTAATTTATAAACTAATATTATCTTAATTAAAAACAGAATTTATTAAAAAATATTTAAACAAGATGGACTGGAGGGCTGGGAGGAGGAGTGGTGTGCATGGGTGGGGATCTCCACAGGACCTTTGTTGCTTCTTAGGTAACCGCAAATACCGTTTTTACAAAAAAATTTTTTAGAGACTTATATTCTTTGTGTGTGTACATGAGGGGGTGTTTTGCTTGTGTGTATGTCTTTGTGCCATGTACATGCCTGAGGCCTTCAGAAGCCTGAATAGGGTGTTAGATTTCCTGTAGCTGTAGTTGCAGATGGTTGTTAGCTGCCATGTGGGTGCTGGAATTAAACCTGGGTCCTTATCAAGACCAGTATGCACTCTTAACTTGTATGTAACCTGTGTCAGCTTGAAAGTCATTGAAGTCCTTCCTGATTAGCCTTCCTGCTGCTGGGATCACATGTGTATGTCACCACACCCAGCTTGGGGTGTGTGTGTGTGTGTGTGTGTGTGTGTGTTTGTGTGTATTTGAAATAGGCTCTTGTTATGCAGTTCAGGCTGGCTGGGAACTCAGTCCTCAACTTTGGGAGGCTGAGACAGGAGAAATACCATGAGATCAGTCTGGGTTACATACTGTGTTCTGAAGTGAGACAGTTTCAAAAACAAAAAACAAAAAATCCAAAAACCAAAACTGTAGTAGTTACAACTTGGAAATGTTATGGAGCTTGTCATGAGTGTTCTTTGAGTGTTCTTCATTTTCTCATTCAAAGAGATCATATGCATACTTCATTTAGTAGTTTGTGCTTTGAAAACAAATACTTCTGCTTTTTAAAAAAAAAAAAAACAGGATCTTGCTAGAAATTGTGATTTGACAGATGCAAAATTGACTTGGGCTCAATTGTGGCACACATCTATGATCTCAGTGCTTGGGAGGTAGGAGCAAGAAGATGATGAATTTAAGGCCTGCCCAGGCTATGTAGATAGTCTATTTAAAAAAAAAAAAAAAAAAAAAAAAAAAGGCAAGAGGACTGGAGAAATGGCCCATGGCCTACAAGTTAAGAACATGTACTGCTGCTTCTCCAGAGGACCTGAGTTCAGCTGCCAGCACTCAAATTTGGGCAGCTCGCAAATTGCCAGTTCTAGGATTTCAGTGCCCTCTGAGGGTCCTTGCACTTGTACCTAGTCATATTACCCCAGTGAGTCCCCCACCCAATGGTTTTCTGTTAGGTCTGTGCACCATGTGCATAGCTAACTGGTGCTGGTTAGGAGCTGCTAGTGAGTGCTGGGACTCAAATCCAGTACTACTGGAAGAACAGCCAGTGCTCTTTACCTCTGAACCATCTCACTGGCCCCTGGATAATGATTTTTGAGCTTCCTTATTCCTTAAGATAAATAATATCTAGCAGCGAGTGGGCTGGGTCAAAGGCCAAAGATTTTGCTGGCTGCCTTGTGGTGCGAGCTTTCTGAAAGTGACCCCAGCTGGGTTCCTTCATGCTGCCCTTGGCCCCTTCCCCACAACAGCTCACCCTTACACCTGAGTGTTGGGCCATTACTGATCCTGCTTTGTTTTATTTTCCAACAGCGCTGTGTAGTTCTGCGTTTTCTGAAGTTTCCTCCAAATAAGAAGAAGGTAAGATTGGTGGGCTGGCCACAGTTGTCATAGCATCTGCTTAAGAAGACCTGGATGTTTTCCTGGGGGGTGGGTCTGTGGAAGTAGGTGGGCAAGCACATGTGTGGTATATGTGCGTGTGTGCATGCGTGAGTGTGTGTACGCGTGCATGCGTGTGTGTTTGATGTTAAGAACTAAATCTGGAACTTTGCCTAGGACAGGAAAGTTTTCTTCCTCTAGGGTGTATCCTATATCCTAAGCCCTCCAGTGCAGAAATGTTAATGCTAATTGTAGAAATTTAAGTATGATATAATCATTCAGTGTGAGAAGTAGTGGGCCCTCATTCTTGATGTGTGAGACCTAACAGGCCCTCTGTGTCACTCTATGGTAGATCTGTCTGCATGAGCTCTGGTGTAGCCTGTGGGCCCTGTTCAGAGGATCCCAGGACCAGGCTTCAACTTGATCTTGATGAGTTCCTTAGTTGCCTCAGTGGAATTGTGTGTAAGAAAATAGTGTGTCACACTGGGTAGACAATCTGTTATGCTAAAATCACAGTGGGCAGGTCAGGTTGTGTTGGCTGAATCATCCTAGCACAGCGAGTGGACCCTCCATGAAGGCTTGCCTGCCACCCTATCTACCCAAGTTAAGCTACTGCCGCTTCCTGGTAAATCTCAGGTAGATACTGAGTATTGGAAGCTCCTGTGGCCACAGCTTCTTCTCTGTTCCTGTTGTTCCAGCACACACTGAGGGAGGCTGAGACACTTGGCCAGTCTTGCTTTGTACATGGCCAGCTGCCTGTGAGCTACATAGGCCTCACCTGGCCTTTGAGCTCCTTAGTGGGGGAAGGAGGAACTCTTTGAGGGGGTTGTGTCTGGTGGATGGACAGGATTGATGATTCAGTGTCTCTTAGAGTGTCTGGGAGACAGTGTGTCAGGATGTGAGGGCAGAGGTCATGGGAGCTATGGGACATTGGTGGTAGAGATGATAGAGGCCCTCAAGGCTTGTCTCCTAGGAGCATGCAGGAATGTCGCCTTTAACTGGGGCAGGAAGGAGAGTCAAAGGTGGGACCCAAACATCCTGTGACTCCTACCTCAGCTGCTGAAGAGAATGACCCAAGGTGTTCTGTTTCTGTCAGATGTGTCTTGGGGTGGCTTCAGCCTCTTCTGTCATGCCTGTTTTTGTACAATGGCTGTAGTGTGTGTTCACCCCACCTTGGCCTTCCTGGACAATGTCTTCTGGTGGGGTGTCTGTCACATGGTCACCCTTCTGTTCCCCAGATGGATTTTATCAGGAGCTGTGACATAGTTGCACAGGCCCTGGGGTGTGTGCTGGGTTTTCCTGTCAAGCTAAGTTCTGACAAGATCCAGTCGTAGGAGCTGTGGGATATCTCCACATACTTTGTGAGACATACATTGTTGGGTATGGGTGGTGAGTTCTCCAGAGGTTTGTGGGGTGCACAGTACTTAGAGTATACATGGGGTGGCTGCTTATTCTGTCCTGAGCTGGACTCCTGGAAGAGGGTGGTATTAGGAGCCTTGTCTGGAGGTCCACCCTGAAGCTATCCTGTGCTTGTCTCTTCCAGACCTCAGAAGAGATACTTCAGCATCTGCAGAACATAGTGGACTTTGGCAAAAATGTCATGAAAGACTTTTTGGGGGAGAACTATGTTCATTGTGGGGTAAGTGCTATTTATTCACATTTCAATTTCTATCCAGTTCTGCCTGACAGTACTGACATCTCAATGTTAGCACTTGTGCACTAAGAATCTTCAAGCTTTTCTCACCAGCTGGGCCAGAGGAGCTTGCATAGTGAAGTTCTCCAGTGAGATCCTGTTATGTTATCCTTGAACCTGAAGGGGGCTTTGCCCTGAGTTCCTGTGGGTTAAGGAACAATGTGGGCCCATTCCTGGAGGCTCCTCCTGGAAGAGCTTTGTGATGTGAACGTGGGTGTGAGTTACTATGGATGCTGCTCAGTTAGGGCCTTAGAAGAAAAGCTTTGAAAACCCTTAACATTGCTTTGTGTTTTGGGTTAACTGTCTTTGCACCTGGCCTGCGGTAAGGAGGGACTAGACAGGGGAAATCCCCTGGCCTGCCTGTCTGACCTGTCCTGTCTTCTGAGCTTCGGACTTGGAAAGTCGCCTCTGTTCTGCGTTTCCTTGGCCACTGACATTGTGGCCTGTCCTCTCCAGTGTCTAGTTTTGGGGATGTTTGGAGGTCAGGTGTGACCTCTTAGAAGAACCCACAGGATATGTCCATTGAATAGTGCTTGTACCTCCTCATGTCTTCTGGGAGAAAGGTTGTCGGAGGCACCATCTTCTGGGAACTCTGCTCTTCCAGCCCTGCTGTGCTTATCTGAGTGTGATGTGGGATTCCCCTCTGTATGCTGTTAATATGTTTTATTGCTTTTGGCCAATGGCTTCATAGAATATAGCCAGACTGGAAAAGATATATAGAGTAGGCGGAGTCAGGGAGAAGCCATGTAGCCGCTGCAGGAGACAGATGGACAGAACTGTACCTGTAGGCCATAACTATGTGGCAATAGAATAGAAATGGGTTAATTTAAGATATAGGAGCTAGCCAATAAGAAGCATGAGCTCATAGGCCAAGCAGTGTTGTAATAATACAGTTTCTGTGTGATTATTTTGTGTCTGGGCATCTGGGAAATGAACGCGTGGCCTCCACCCATGACATGAGTGGGAGTCTTTGGTTGAGTCTGGATAAAGAAGGCCAGTGGGTTTTCCTGAGGCAAGATCCCAGCAGTTTTGTCCTAGGCACTTTTCCTTTGTCACTTGGGACTTTTTTTGAAGTCACAATTCTGCCACCCTCAGAACACAGGCAGGGATGACAGTGAGGAACATGGTTTAAATTGATGCAAATTTACAAATAAACAGCTGAGGGAGATCACTAGCCCCATGAGCCCCGTGTTGTCACTCAGCAGGTACAGCTTGCTGGCCGTCTAGCCAGGGTTTCTTGAAGTCCTTATTCTGTGACTACAGACGCTGAGGGACCGGGAGGGGCTGTGTGTGACGGGAGGTACTGTTGGTGTGGCTGATCACCGGTGTCATGGGTCCTGGCTGGCTGTGAGGAGGGCCAGCTGCCTTTAGGAAATGGAAATGTTTTTGCCTCTGTTTAACCTCTACATGTGTTGAAAAATTATAGATTGTCTCTTACTACCAAATTGGCACATTGAATTTTTTGAACTATAGTATTTGGGGTATAAAATACACACACTGCGAAATTCACTGTTTTAACTGTGTTGAACTGTGCATAGTTCTGAGGCATTAACAATCTTCAGGACAGTGTACAATCTGTATATTTTGTGTGTTTTCTTACAGGAAGTTGTTCAGCTGCCTTTAGAGTTTGTGAAACAACTATGCTTAAAAATACAGTGTGAAAGACCAGGTAAGGTGTCAGACAGTGTTCAGTTTTTTGTGGGGGAGGAAACAGGTCTCTTTTTGTAGCCCTGACTGCCCTGGAACTTACTATATAGACCAGACTGGCCTTGAACTCACAGAGATCCTCCTACCTTTGTTTCTCAAGTGCTGTGATTAAAGGCATACACCACCATGGTTGGCTCATTTGCAATTTTAAAAGGCTTTGAAATGTTTACCCCAGGTTAGGTACAGACATTTTGCAGCAGTTTTTGTGGTCAAAGGCTTAGTCGCCACCCCCAAGTCCCATTTCTTGTGCGTGCTGGTGGGCTTTGCTGGCAAGAACCAGAATAAAGCCTTTTCTTTCATGGTCACTGATCAAACATGTAAAGTCCACGTATTGGTTGTGAAAATGTCTTCATAGCTACCACCAAAAATAATGCTATAGAATCATCCACAATAAAGTCCTTCCTGATTTGATTCAGAAAATGAAATAGTGCCCTGGAGTATGTATGGGGCAGAAGCAGGAAGTGGAGGGTGCTGGATCGCACTGGGCTCTGGTGTCCACCAGGATGGACAGGGGCCAGCTTCAGGGTTCTACTGCTGCTGCTCAGCACCCCATTTCACTTTATACACAGTGGAGATGTGACACTCCACAGTGACAAGAGCCCCTGCTGCTTTTTAATGGGATGGTGGATTAAGTCTGCTCTTCAGAAGGGAACACTGGTCCCCGGTGCAGAGAGCCCGATTCCAGCAGAGCTATGTTGAGGTGACATGGGAACAACAAGAATTAGGAAAAATAATAAAAATTGAAAGGAGGAAGGGGCTGTAGTATACTTCTCCCTGTTCTTGGGCAGAGAGAGTGGCAGAATTAGGGGCCATCCAAGACTCTTCTCACTTCTGATTTCTGTTGCATGCTTTAAAGCTCCCCAAGGTCATGTTCAGGGTTAAAAATTGACTAGAAGGGTTATGATTTATACTATAGGGGAGTAAGGGTGAGATCTGCCAATTGAAAAGGTGGAGTTGGGGTCCTGGAGAGTCCAGACATCCTCTCCTACAGTGACTGAGACAGCACTCACTGAGCTTTGCCTCCAGGCAGCCCTGGAGGTCTCCGTGTCCAGGGTTAGAGCTTAAGAGGGCTGACCTTCCTAAAGGGCTGGCAGTGTATGGCCTGATCATGTGTCATGGTAGCTTCCCCACTTCCTTGTTGCTGCCTGAGGCTATCCTGTCTTGGGAACCTCCCCCCACAGGACTCTTGTATTATAGGGCTGTCTGTCTCTTATCTCATGTTCTGTCTTCCAGAGTCTCGTTGTGACAAGGACCTGGACACACTCAGTGGTTATGCTATGTGCCTTCCCAATTTAACTCGACTTCAGACCTACCACTTTGTGGAGCACCGGCCGATTCTGTGTGTAGAGATTAAGGTGGGTTTTCATTCATGGTGGCATGACACTACAGGTGAAGGGAAAGGTGGCTCTCAGGTGATGAGCCTCCCTGAGTCTCCTTGGCTCTGTCTTGAGTGTGTGTTCAGCCTTTCTCAGGAGCTCAACTTGTTTCATTTATTTATTTATTTATTTATTTATTTATTTATTTATTTATAAAGATTTATTTATTTATACAGTATCCTGCCTGTAGGCCAGAAGAGGACACCAGATCTCATTATAAGTGGTTGTGAACCACCATGTGGTTGCTGGGAATTGAACTCAGGACCTCTGGAAGAGCAGTCAGTGCTCTTAACCTCTGAGCCATCTCTCCAGCTCCTCAACTTGTTTTTTTTTTTTCATATTTCCCTGGTATTAACAATGAGGGAACCTATAAGCACACACCTGCACTGGATCCCTTCTGTACAGGGTGTACCCTTAAAACCTCACAGTCTTGGCCATGTGCTTCCTGTTTCTTACACTGAAGACCTAAATCTGAGTAGTTGGCCAAGTACCCTAGAAGGCTTCCCCCACCCCACAAAACTATTACTTCTCTTCCTTTTCTAGGAGAGGTGATGACCCTGAGGCATGCCTTGGCCCAAGTACTTGTTATCCTTGGGGGCTGGATGTTTTGTCTCTTAGCTGCACTCTCCAGAACACTAAGCTCAGGTTGTATGTACTGACAGCATGCAGATTTTAGAAGGCAGCTGGGATTCCCGATGTCCTGGAAGCCTAGCAACTATCAGCTGGGCGTCTTGCAGGCCCTACATAGCAGCGACAGTGGGAACAATAGTTCTGCTTCTGAGCTGAGAACCCTCGGCCCGTCTCCACTCTTCCAGCCTGCCAGTGAGAGTACAGAGCTGCTCTGTGCTATACTCCTGTCGGTCCTCCCCGTGAGAGAGCTGCCCTTTCGCCCTCTGGAGCAGAGGGGCGTAGACTGTAGCGAAAGTTGACAACAGTTTCTGGGGACATTTCTACCTGATCTTGTTCTTGTTCTTCTCTAGCTCCTAGTTAGTGTGTGTGTTGAATGAAGTATGTGATTTCTACTAAACGCTTCTTCTCTTATTTTACAGCCAAAATGTGGGTTTATTCCTTTCTCAAATGATGTTACCCACGAGATGAAACACAAGGTGTGCCGATACTGCATGCACCAGCACCTCAAGGTGAGAACTGAGTCAGGTGTGGGAGGGCGGAGTATAGGGCATCTGGGCATGAGGGAAGCCACTGGGATTTCTAGAAGATGGAAAGGAATTGTTGATAACCCTCTTTTCATTTCATGAGTAGCTAACATTTACTTTATTATTCTTTAAGAGTTTTGATCTTTTTGTTTATAATTTTTTTGTGTGTGTGGAGGTCAGAGGACACTTATAGTTGGTTCTCTCCTTCCACTGTGAGATCTAAGGATCAAACTGTTAATGCCATGCTGGCTGACAATTAAGTAGTGAGTTCATGCAAGCTAGGTAAGCACCCTACTCTCTGAGCTACAGCCCTGGTCCTCACTGTGTGGTTACTCTCCTCCCCCTTCTCCCTTGAGGCCCCATCTTGTCCCCTCCCATGACTCTGTTCTTGCCCTTTAAGCATATTCACACAGAAGTATGCAGGGATAGAGATTAGAGAGGGTCAGTGTGGGACAGAGCTGGACTAGCTGGCTTTCTGAGCCTGAACCTCACATAATGGTTTCCATTCCCATCCATTTTCCTGCAGCTTTTATTTTCCTTGACGCTTTTTCCCCACTTCAAGTTTGTTATGCCTGAGTTACAGTGCTCTGTGTACTCAGCTTGTCAGTGCCTTAAGGAGACGCAATTAGCAGGTGCTTCTCTGTTTTTCTTGGTGGGTAGTGCCCTTTTATGCCTAAATGTGCTGAATTAAGTTTAATTAAGTTCAGTTAATCTCTTTTTTCTTTTGTTGGGTTGATGTCGTAGCCAAGCAGTCACTGTCAAGTCCAGTGGTGGGAATCTTCCCCCTGTTTTCTTCTAGAATTTTCATTCTTGATTTTAGATCTCAGCCATTTTGAGTTTGTTTTGTGTAAGGTTTTGGGTAAGTGTCCAGTTTCATTCTTTTGCATATAGATAGGCATCTGGTTTTCTCAGTGCCTGTGACTGTTTTTTCTTCTAAGTATTGGTCCTGGTAATCTTCTGGAAGATGTTGGGCCTGTAGGCAAGGGGCTCCTCTCTGTTTTACTTTTGGTGTATTTTCTGTCTTCATGCCAGGACTTTGCTTACTACAGGGTTTCTCTGTGTAGCCTGGCTGTCCCAGAACTCACTCTGTAGACCAGGCTGGCCTCGAACTCAGAGATCAGCCTGCCTCTGCCTACTGAGTGCTGGGACTAAATGTGCACACCACTGCCACCTGGTGGTTACTGTAGTTTTTTATGTTGGAAGATTTTTTTCTTTTATTACCGATTGAATGTTACGAGATTCTTTCCTGTTTCTTCTTTCCCCCCCCTCTCTCCTTTGTCCTCTTTTCCCTCTCATGGTTTTTAAAGACAAAGTCTTTTGTAGCTCAGACTGGCCTTGAATCAATAGGTAGCTAAGGATCTCTGTTGTAATAAGGAGCGGCGGCGGCGGGGCTGCGTCCCCAACACCCCGGAATTAGGTGTTGTACAAACTCACACTCCCAGGAGGCAGAGATCTGTAGGGATAAGTCCCACCCCTTAGGGGGCGTGTTCGCCTCAGGCTAAAGTTTTCCTATAAATTTGGTGAGCTTGCTCCCAGCGCTCGCTTCTGCTTTCCTGGTCTCCGCGGGAATGGTGGTTCTGTAAGTCTATTCCTCCATTAAAGCTGTCTATATTTTGACAATCTGTCTGCATTTGCTTATGCCGTTACATTTTGGCGCCCAACGTGGGGCTCGAACCCACGACCCTGAGATTAAGAGTCTCATGCTCTACCGACTGAGCTAGCCTTTAATCTTGGCATTTGAGATGCAGAGGTAGACAGATTTCTGTGAGTTTGAGCCTAGCCTGGTCTACATAGAAAGTTCCACAGGGTTACACAGTGAGATTAAAAAGTGTCATGCTCCCTGTTCTTATTTATTTAGACTTAGTTGATTTTTTTCTTTTTTAGAAGATAGACTTTTATTTTTATGAACAGTGTTTTGCTTGCATCTGTGTATGTACTCCATGCCTGATGCCATAGAGGTGAGAAAGGGAGTTTCAGAGCCTTGGAACTGGAATAACAGTTGTAAGCGACCATGTGTATGCTGGGAATGGAACCCGAGTTCTTTGCAAGAGCAACCAGTGTTGCTAAACACTGAGCCTTTTCTCCACTTCTTGAGTTGTTTTTCTTGAGTTCCCCGGATTCCTAAAGAACTTTAGACATTTTCTGAGGTTTCAGAATTTATCATTCTGGCAAATTTTGCTAGTTTTTACATGTAAAAACCATGTCCATCTTATGTGATAGGTTGTTTAAGATGTATATATTTTAAAATTATGAAATACTGCTCACTCATAACTGATAGTTGGATACTTCCCTTCTCTGGTGATTCATGGTATTAGTTTGGTTGTCTTTCCAGACTGTTCTAGAGTAGCAATACAGACACAGACAAGCAGTGGTGCCTCTTCCCATGTTTGTTGGTGGAGCATGCAGACATAAGATACAATAGGGGGGCTGGAGAAATGTCTTAGAGGTTAGGCGCACTGGCTGCTCTTTCAGAGGTCCTGAGTTCAATTCCTAGCAACCACATTGTGGCTCACAACCATCTATATTGAGATCTAGTGCTCTCTTCTGGCGTACAGGCAGAACACTGTATACATACTAAATAAATAAATCTTATTTAAAAAAAAAGATACAATAGGATTGTGTTATTTGCACTTCTGCCCAGTGCTCCCTCCATATTAAATAATTTTTCAGGATTTCGTGTCGTAAAGTTTTTCTCAAGATGTGTTTGCTTAAGTAACTATACTTTTAAAGCAAACATGACATCACATTATAGGTATTGTTCTGCCGGTTGAATTGGTGATGTTTTAGTCCATCTTTTGAGTGGCTGCATCCGTACACTCATTCATTCCTTTACCGTATTCTTTCTTCCTGCAGTAAATATCTTAATACCTGCAGCAAATGTTGTGCCCACATACCTGTTGCCTCTTTGCTCTGTGTAGTTATTTTAGATTTAGGTTTACTAATTTGGAATTGTACACATTTTAAGTTTTGGTAGTTACCACAAAAGGCTGTGCCAAGTTACCATTCTTCTGGCAACATAAGATTGCATGTGTAGTGTCCTTTCCCTTGCTGCTAACAGTTTAAAGACTTGCTGTTCGTGTCACCAGACCCTCGCATGCCTGCTGAACTGGCAGTGACTGAGGCCGAGGGGTAGCAGGAGTTTCCTAGGGTGAGGGGTCAAGTGGGCTTCTACATAGGGATGTACACCTGGGACCTCTCCCAAATCAAGGCCGCAGCCCATCTTAGATTATGCTGTTTTGTGAGCTTTATTGGTAGTCACAGAGAAAGCGTTTGCTATGTTATCTTGGTGTTTTCCAGGTAGCAACTGGAAAGTGGAAGAAAATAAGTAAATACTGTCCCCTCGACCTCTACTCAGGGTAAGAGTCACTTCTCATTTGCTGTTTTGGTTGGGTGGTGCCTGCTAAGGGACAGCCTATGAGGTAGGGGTTTTGAGGGTTACTTTGTGAAGTGTTGATGACGTGTATGTGAGAAAGAGGGGGTGGGGATTAGAGGCATGTTCTGTAAAGTGGGGATAGTGGGCATCTTCTTTGAGGGAGGACAGGTATTTTGTATTGTGGGGAGACTGGGGTGTATTCTGTAAGCTGGTTGTAAGTATTATCTGAAGTGTTGGGAGTGGGGTATGTTCTGTAAAGTGGGAGTGTTGGTGAGGTTGGAATATACATGCAGGTTCTGTGCAGTGGTAAATGTGTGGGGTTCAGTGAAGTGGGGAATGGAAGGTATTCTGTGAGCTGGGTGTGGCTTTGCTCTGTCTAAAGGACTCCTTGCTCATTTCAGAAAACAAAGTGTTGCTGTTTTTCCTGTGAGAACCAAATCAGTTTGGCAGTGCAGTAAGGGAGAGTTGTGATTGATTTACCTGTGCCCCCAAGGCTGGATGTTATGAAGCGAACAGTAAGACAGAGCATTATTGAGAATTTATAATTTATCAAACCTGAGCCAGGAGCTGTCCTTAGAATGTTTATAATGCAGCCTTTTCGGAGCTGGCTGTGGGTGCTAGTGCTGATGCCCTGTCTGCAGTGTGACCTCAGGCCGTGGTTTGGAATCCTTGTTTGGGGTGGGTTTGCCTCTCTGGGAGCCCTGCAGATTTCATGTGGAGGTGAGAAAGGGGCTGTGTTCAGGGACACTGATGGAGGACCGGGGTATGGTCTGGAGCATGAGTGGCAACGAGGAAGAGACAACAGGTGCCAGTTGCTTTTAAGTAGGGCAGAGGGCAGGAGGGGGCCAGTCCCACAGTCCCCCAAGTGGAGGGAGGGTGAGAGGTCCCATGTTCCTGCCTTTTTTAGACTTCCTGCCCTTTCCAGAGGTCTGTCATGGCATCTGATCACGATGCCTGAGCACGTGCTCTAGCCTCTGCAAGCTGCAGCTGAGGATCTAGAAGGACGAGATGGAGCTAGATGGACTCTGAGTGATTGTTGTACCTTGGCCTCTGGTTCCCTGCAACTGCGGGATCCCTCATGACTGACTTTGGGCCCGAGACCAAACTCCCCTCATGTGCCCAAGGCCACAGTTACTGGGCGCTCTAGGTCACAGCTCAGCTTGGAATCGCATGTATGAATATGTGTGGAGAGCAGGCCAGCCCACTGCCTTTAAATCCTTAATGCTTTGTCCTTCCAGAAACAAGCAGCGCATGCACTTTGCCTTGAAGAGTCTGCTGCAGGAGGCACAGAACAATCTGAGGATATTTAAGGTAAGAGCTGTTTCCATTCCATGGTGGATTCCTGGCAAACCTACCACACTATGATTCTGGCCACAGGTTCTGTGACCTGATATGTCAGGGTGTCCAAGCTGGTTTGCCTCAGACCAGCTCTCCATGCCTTGACCTTGCAGGAGGAGGAGGCATGGCTGAAGGAGGGAGGGGACAGGCAGAGCTAGCCTTGGCAGGAGGTGGTGGCTGTGGCCATGCTGGGAATGCATCTCTAGAGTCCCCTTTGCTATGGTCTCATTGGACAGCAAGTTGGACTTGAGGCAGCGTGGAGCTGTGTGAGGGAGCAGGACAGAGAATGGACTTTCCAAAGCCCGTGTTTTGCTTGGTCTGGGAAAATGACTGGTGAATTGGAAGTACTGTCCTGTCTTGGCTGTGTGGCTGGTAGCTTGCATTCCCACCAGCATTAATTTTATTCTTAAAAAAGACCATGTGTGATCTGTGGTTTGCACATGTATGCTGTGCTGTTTGTATGAGACAGGACAGTCCTTAGATTCAGTTCTCTTTCCACAGTGGGATCTGGGAATCAGATTAAGGTTGACACTGAGTGACTTCTCTCCCCTATTTTTTTTTTTTTTTACTTTGCCAGGCGTGGTGCGTGCCTTTAATCCCAGAACTCAGGAGGCAGAAACATGCAGATTTCTGTGAGTTCAGGGCCAGTCTGGTCAACAAAGCTAGTTCCAGGACAGCCAGGGCTGAAGAGAGAAACCCTGTCTGGAAAAACTAAAAGAGATTAGGAGCCTGGTATTTAAATCCTGGAGGGAGATAAATCCCTTTAACTTTGAAGCTCATTTCTGAATCTGTCAGGCCACATTTGAGGTATCTGGTCTGTTGCTTCTGTAAAAATCAGCTTGGAAGAATCCAGAGATTAGCCAGCCCTTCCCCAAGAGGTGGTTTAAGAAAATTGATATGTGATGGCTTTTTTTATTTTTTTATATTTATTTATTTATTCTTTTTTTTTTTTTTTTTTTTTTTTTTTTTTTTTTTTTGAGACAGGGTTTCTCTGTAGCTTTGGAGCCTGTCCAGGAACTAGCTCTTGTAGACCAGTCTAGCGTTGAACTCAGAGATCCACCTGCCTCTGCCTCCCGAGTGCTGGGATTAAAGATGTGTGTCATCACCGCCCGGTGATGGCTTTTTAAAAATAATGTAAAAACTTTTTTTTTTCCTTTTTGGTCTTATTTTCTGAGACAAGGTTTCTCTGTGTAGCTCTTGCTGTTCTGGAACTCCCTCTGTAGATCAGGCTGGCCCCAAATTCAGAGATCCACCTGTCTCTGCCTCCAAAGTGCTATGACTAAAGGTGTAAAATTAAAGGCCTGGCTTAAAATTAAAAATTATAAACAAATTGATCTCTTTTACTTTGTGTGTGTGGGGAGGTCCCAGGACAATTTGCAGTTCTATCTTTCCATCATGTGGGTCCTTGGCTTTAAACTGAAGTCATTAAGCTTGGTGGTAAGCACCCTTATCTACTGAGCCATCTTGCTGGCTCTGTTGTGTTCTCTAAAGCAGTAGGCAGCAGTGCCGTGATTTCAGCATGGTGAGCCCTGGCAGCTCTCGGGCTTCTCTGTCTGATGCTGTGCATTCGCTGCTCCCTGAAATTCTGCAAACCAGCAAAGCAGAACATTCCCGAAGCTCTGAAGGTCCAGGCTTGGAGAAGCTGCCTGGCTGTGGTCAGTGATCCCATCTGGACATTTGTGCTTAGAGACAGTGTAGGATTCAAAGAGTGTGGACCTTGTTATAGAGTCTCTATGCTACCTAGGTTGTAACTATGCCAGATGTCCTATGAAATCTTTGAACAGCCATATTTGTATGTGTAAACTCTATCTCTGGATTTCACATTTACAATGTCCCTCAAATCTAGACCCTTGATGCTGGGGTAAGGTGTCGCTGTGAGGACTCCCTGACCACTTTTGGGCCTGGAGGAGGGGCCAGCTTCATCATGAGCACAAATGACCCTACCTTGGATGTCAGTTGACTAACTCAGCTCCACTGTGGTCACCCTCTTCTTCCTGCCTGGCATGGTGAGCGGTGCCTTAGTTTGTCCCTTGGACAGCACCTAGATAGGAGTCTCTGGAGAGGCACCCCAGGATCTAATGGGGAGAAGATAGCCATACCTCCCAGGGTCAACTTACTCTCTTGACTATTACTGCTCTCCTGAGACCCTAGCTTCACACACCCACTCGTTGCCTCAGTGTCTTAGCTGTTGCTCTTTGAAGGCATTTCCATTTTGTGCCGTAGTTCTAGGGAAACTCTGGTATCTTTGGTAAGAGCCTTACAGGTGCTGTGATGTTGTGTCTGCTTGGACTGGAGGGTGTTAGAGGACCCACCATGTGGCTTAAATATGAAAGCATGTAGTTCAGAGAGCCTTGAGATGCTTCTGGTGTTGTCCTTAGCTCAGGTCTTGTCATAACCCAGTGTCAGCATGCGTCCTTGCTTGAGTGCTCAGTCTGAATGCTGTGTGGTTCTATGAAGAAGGTCAACAGTTTTAAAGCAGGAACCTTTCTATGTCAGGGATCTGGTCGCTTCTCTTATCACCGACTCTGGGGTCTGTGGGGCCTAATCTGACCCCCAGACACTGCTTGGGCCCTCAAGTAACTGGGGATTTGTGGACATCTGTGGCTTTGTGCTCAGTATTTGCTCAGACATGCTGTGAGATCATTGTCTGATGGTGTCAGTCCAGGTGCTGGCCTGAAGTTTCTGAACCTTTCTTTCTCTGACTCATGCTTAGTGATAGAGCATGGAGAGTAGGCTTCTTCAGAGGAGCTAGTGTCCAGTAACCCTGACTACCTCGTCTAAAAGCACTGGGGTCCTCTGTTGGTGCTCTGCCCTGCTGGTTTTTGTCAGCTTGTGTGATCCATCTCCCTTTTTTCTTTTTCCTGCCTGAAGAATGGCGAGCTGATTTATGGTTGTGGTGATGCCCGGAGCCCTGCGGCTGACTTGAAGGAGCTTGCGCACCACTTGAAGCCCTTCTTCTTCCCTTCCAATGGCTTGGCCAGTGGGCCTCACTGCACGAGGGCCGTGATCCGGGAGCTGGTGCGTGTTATCACAAGGGTGCTGCTGAGCAGCTCAGACAAAGGCCGAGCAGGTGCCCTGAGGCTTGGGCTCCAGGGCCCACGTGTCTGTGAAGCCAGCCCTTTCAGCAGGAGCCTACATCACCAAGGTAGGGCTGGGCCTTCTCCAGTGGGATGTGGGTCTACAGGTGCACTTAGACTATTCCTCCCCATAAGTAGCTAGAGTGGCACCTGCAGTGTGACTTCTGTGTCCTTGCTTGGCTTTGTGGCACTTTTGGAGGTGCTGTCTAGTTCTGTAATGGTTCCACAGAATGAGGCTTAGCTGACTCACAGAGAGTTGAGACTTGCTTTTCACCTTTATCTGGGTTTTTAAGCTGCTTGACATACTTGGACTGTATAGTTCCTACTAGTACTGCCTGTATCCTGTGTGTGTGCTGCAGTGAGTGAGTCCGTGCTCCACTGTACGTTTCCCCTCTGACCATCATCCTGACTTTGGATGCAGACTCCTTGGTCTGCTTGTCGGACAAGAACTGAGACCAGGAGTCCTTTGTGACTGGGCTGAACACTGTGGAGTGAGGACAGGCTTTCAGGGTCCCTGGCTCCAGAATGTGTCTGGAAGGACACAGATAGTTGCTGGCATCTAAGTGATCTGGTGACACCAGAGTCTTCTCTCACAGACCTTTCTGACACTAATGTGCAAACAGACCTAACTCATGGGTAAGCAGTATTTGAAACAATGAAATAACACTCATGTTTTCTTGTAACCCAGTGTTTTTTTAAATAGCATGAATCTGTCAGCACACGTAGTTTTTTATCTTTTAGCTACCATGATTGGGGTAGACATTCACTGCATGGACATCCTGCTGTCTTGACACAGGGCATCTGATGTGTGACTGAGAGCATGTTGCTGGAGTGTCTGAATAGACATGTTCCCTCCCTCGTCTTTTCCTTTAGTTGTCTCTAAGAGACCTCAGCTAAGGTGATACTGTACATGTCATTGTGAGAGAGCATGAGTGAAGGATGGAGCTTTTTTTCTCATCTGTCCCAGTGAGGACAGGACCTTGCTAATGGTCTTGACCACTGTCCATTACTTTGCACACTTAATTCATATTGTGGCAGGCAGACCCTGACCCTCTTGATATGTTTTGGCTCTGGAAACAGGGTCCCAGTTGGTCTTGAAGGGGTGAGGATGCTGAAGTTCATGTAGAATGATTATCTTTAAGCTTACATATAAAGTGACTTCTAGAGCATGGATAGAATTAAAGGATATTCTGGGTCAGTGTTTGGACAGCACAGGCCCAAGGGGAGAGGCATAGTCTCCATCTGTTTTGTGTGTAGAGCCACTAGGTGCAAACGGTAGTCTGTGCTCGGTCATCTTTGTAGCTTTATAAGGAATGCAGTGTCTGCCCTCGGTGTTAGGCTGGGGCCCTGGCTATGTCTGTAATGCCCAGTGGTTAAGCCCAGGGTGAACTCTGCTGTCTGCGCCAGCCTGGGTCTCCCTCCACAGTCTTCAAGTTTTGATAATGAACCTGCTCTCGTTCTCCCTTGATGTTCTTGGTAGGAAAAAACACCCCAGAGCACTCGGGGTTACCGAAGGGCTGTCTTCTATACAAAACCCTCCAGGTGCAGATGTTGGACCAGCTGGACATCGAAGGCCTCTACCCTCTATACAACCGGGTTGAGCGCTACCTGGAGGAGTTTCCTGAGGAGAGGTGAGGCTGGTGCCAGAGGAAGCTATGAGGCTAGGCTGGTTAAGGTTGCCTGAACTCCAGAACAAAACAAACCTCCCAGACAGAACCTGGCTCCAGAAGACCCCTACAACCAACTCTCTGCTGAGGAAGTCCCCTTTGGGATGTGTGTGTGCCAGGGTCCATATAAGATTAGTGGTTCATCACTAAGACACTTACAGAAATAACTTAAAAATGTGACCATTCCAAAATTTGTATGTCAGGGCCTGGCCTGCAGAGGGCAGTGTTGTCCCACAGGTTGCTCCAGTTAGCCCACTGCCTTTGTAGTTCCTGAGCTTCTCTGACTATCACATCTAGGGCTCTGGGCCTGCATTGTGCGTCCCCAAGTTCACACCTGCGGTGTCTGATGGGCAGTTCTCTTTGTACCTCACTGGCTTTTGCCTAAGGGTGTGTGAACCGCTGAGGACTAAGCCTGGCTCCCCTGAACCGTGGGGGTTGTTGATGGTATAGAATCAGGCTTAATGAGAACAAGCAAGGTCTCTTAGCTGCCTCTGAAACAAAGCATGTAATTGTTAGGTTGGCCGTGTGATACAGAATGCATTAGTGAGTGAAAGTCTCCAGGAGCTTTGTCATCCTGTTTATTTGGTCTTGGTGCTTTTCCTTCAGGAAAACATTACAGATAGATGGGCCTTATGATGAAGTGTTTTACCAGAAGCTGCTTGATCTGTCTACTGAAGATGATGGGACAGTGGCCTTTGCATTAAGGAAGGTGAGTAGACCCATTGAGAAGCACTGCATTCCTGAGGTGTTAATACCCCTATCCTCCACAACAGTGACAGCCCAGAACTCATTTATTTTTGGTTTTTCGAGACAGGGTTTCTCAGTATAGGCTTGGTTGTCCTGGAACTCGCTCTGTAGACCAGGCTGGTCTCGAACTCACAGAGATCTGCCTGGCTTTGTCTCCTGAGTGCTGGGATTAAAGGTGTGCTCCACCACCGCCCAGCCTAGAACTCAGATTTAAAGCAGAGTGACTGCAGCATTTCTCAGATGGGCTGGGGCAGCTAATGGATGGAGAGGGAGGCTCTAAGTGAAATTTATCTTGGCTCTGTTCTTCTCTTCAGAGGCAGGCTTCAGTGTGTGGTGGCCCCAGCCCCCACTTTTGAGAGCCTGACAACTATGCTGTGTTTGAGGCTTGAGAGAGGGATTGAGAAGGTCTTATAAAGAGGTTGAGGTGCAGGCTGAAACTTTTTTTTTTTTTTTTTTTTTTTTTTGTTTTTTAGAGACAGGGTTTTTCTATGGCTTTGGAGCCTGTCCTGGCACTAGCTCTGTAGACCAGGCTGGTCTCGAACTCACAGAGATCNATAGGCAGTGTTCTTGCTCACCTTTTCTTCCAGTGGGTACCTGTCGCTCATGGAATGTTTGAGGGATTTGGGGAAGGGAGTGTTTGATTGGTCTTGTTTTGGTTTTTAGAGACAGGGTTTTTCTATGGCTTTGGAGCCTGTCCTGGCACTAGCTCTGTAGACCAGGCTGGTCTCGAACTCACAGAGATCCGCCTGCCTCCCAAGTGCTGGGATTAAAGGCGTGCGCCACCATCGCCCGGCAGGCTGAAGCTTTCTTAAGCTGGGGGAACTCCAAAGGGAAAGCTCTGGGTCACGGTGCAGCAATTGGAGGCTGCCAAATCCAGCTGTGAGTACCTGGAAGGAGGCAGAAAACCCAAGTAAATGTAGTCTACACAGCTACCTAGAACTGGCTGAAAGAAATTCATTGGGAACATACAAAGTGCCGGTGTTGGGCACTGGCTCTGAGACGGGCTGCTGATAGGTTTTCATGTCAAATGTACTATCACATGCCCTCATAGATACTTATCCCAGAGAAATGAGGACTTATGTACAGAAGAACTGTGACAACCCGTGTTTTCAGCACATGCTATACTAGGTTAGACTGTCATCTCAGGACACTGGGCTTTCGGACTTCTGACTTTTTTTTTTTTTTTTTTTGGCTTTTTGAGACAGGGTTTCTCTGTAGCTTTGGAGTCTGTTCTGGAACTAGCTCTTGTAGACCAGGCTGGACTTCTAACATTTTGAGCACTGCCTGGAGGTGTAGTCAGTAGACTTTCCAGGAAGGCCAGCTTCCAATGTTTCAGGTTAGGGGGCCCTTTTGTCTCTTGGCAGCCACTTAGCACTGCTCTTATAGTTCAGGAACATCCATCAACAGGATACAAACGAGAGGGACTGTATCTCAGGAAAACTGTCCCAGAGGCAGGTGTGGGGAAGTGGTGGGGTGAGGCTCCCCATCAGTGTGCTGACTTGTGTGTTCCATTACTTAGTAGCTTCTTTAGTTCGTCTTCATTCCATGGTTTGGAAGTTACCTGTTTGGATTCTTTCCATGGTAATGTGTCCAGTTCACCCTACATATTTAAAGTGTAAAGCTGCTCAATTGTTTGTGGCCCCCGGTGGCACATGATACAGGACTTGGGGGACTTTAATTTTAGTTTTTCCCAGTGTGTGTGTGTGTACTTATCATTTGGTATTTGTTTATTTCAGGTTTTCTTTGGGTGTGGTAGGCAGCATGCTAGGCAAGCACTCTACCAGCTAGCTCTAGAGAGGTCATTTTTCAAAGTCCCAGTTTCGAGTATTGTTTTAGACATGCTTGTCAGATTCATTTGTGTGTTAGGCCCTTATTGCCTTACTTTCTTCCCACTCAGATCAGTCCTCTTTGTCCTGTTTTTCTTTAGCAGCAATTTCATGCCCTGTCCTTTACTCACAACCACATCACTTAAAACACACCCTTAGCTGTCTCTGCCCCTGCAGTCCTGAGCAACTGCATTCTTTCTCTGAGTGTTGCTTATAAACGAGACAGTCATGTGTGAGCCTTTGTGCACAGCTTTGACATAGATAACTTTCAGATTTCACCTCCTCATTCTCTTTCATGGCTCAGATTCCATTACAGTGGACATACTGTAATTTAGACACCTGCCCATCAGTTGATGGACATCTCAGTTGTGACCACTTTTACAATCAGCGCTGTTGTAAATATTTGTGCACAAGCTTTTATGTGGCTGTATATTTTTTTCTGTGGTGTATGCCTAGGAGTGGAGTTGCTTGGTCCAAATGACAATATCTTGTGTGTTGTTTGGGCTAGCTTCAGACTTGGAATCTTCCTGCTGCCGTCTGCGTAGCTGAGATTACAGGTGTGCCTCCTACTTAGTCTTTTTTTGGGGTGAAGTGGGTGAGTAGTGTAATGGTCTCCGATAGGTTTTTCTTTATATGCTGTTACTTGACCTTTTTCTTGCTCTTAATATTCATTCTTTGTTTTGTATGTTTTGTAAAAATATGGAACACCTCACCAATTGACATGTCATCCTTGCGCAGGGGCCATGCTAATCTTCTCTGTATCGTTCCAGTTTTAGGATATGTGCTGCCGAAGCGAGCACGGTGGTCTCCATTTGCTTTAAAGAAGGCTTCTTTGATGGGGGTGGGTAGCTACAGTCATCAGTGGGTATAAGGATAAGATTTAGAATGTAGTAATGAAGTACGCTCAACTAGCAAAGTGGAATGTAGTAATGAAGTACGCTCAACTAGCAAAGTGGTAACAGTAGATTCTTTTCTAGGTCTGAGACCTCACTGTCCCTGGGAAACTGGCAGAAAGATCATAAGAGCCAGAGTATGAGGCAGTCTCCCGTGAAACAGTCTCTTCTAGAAATAGCTGCATAAAAAAAAAACACTGCAACACTGGCGATGTCAAAATAGACACGTTAAAGTGGAAGGGGGAAGTTTGTAGTGTCCCCTCACTAGACAAAGAACTATAGACAACTGTTGACTGCTGGAAGAAGAATTAGCCCCTTATTGGTTGTTCAACACAGAGTGGTCAGCTCTGAAATCACAGATACACAAACAACTAAAAACGGACCGAGAGTGGGGGTAGGTGGGAAAGGTTTGAGGAAGGAAAGGGGGGAAGGGAAGTGATTGTAATTCTTTTTTTTTTTTTTTCCTTTTGTTTGAGATAGGTTTCTCTGTGTAACAGTCCTGGCTGTCCTGGAATTTACTTTCTAGACCAGGCTGGCATGGAATTCATTGAGATCCACCTGCCTCTGCCTCTCAAGTGCTGGGATTAAAGGTGTGTACCACTACTGTCTGGCGGTAATCCTATTTAATTAAGTTTTTTTTTTAAAAAAATGTTGATATTGACATTGTTTTATTTTTACCTGCACATAAACACCTCTGAGATGTTTTGCAAATGAATTTATGTTTGGTAGGTTTCAGTGCCATATAGTTACAAAGCAAGAGATTATTTAAACATTTTCATTTTAACTTTTTGAGCCTTTATTTCATTAACTGTTTGGATTATGAAAAAATAACTTATATATAAGAATGTTCAGAAAAAAAATGTATAGCCCAGTGAGCAGAAGCCAACCAGAGCCCCTGTTGGAATTGCTTCTCAGTCTCAACTAAGATCTCATATGCAGTCTCTCTAGCTGGAGTCTGACCTGTGTTCCTGTGCAGTGCTTTGTTCTGCTTTTAGCATCTCGTAATGGCATCATGCTGTGCATGCTCTATGTTCCTGTGATGTTTTCTCTAGCAATAGTTGAGCTGTGCCTTTGCTGCATGTTTTATTTTTCCAAAACAGAAGTAATATAATTTTAATTTCAATATTTATAATACACAAATTAGGAAGTAAGAATTCTAAGTACAACTTTAAGCAAGTCACTTGTCTTCCCCCTATAATAATAATATAAGCTATTTAAAGACTTACAAATTCAGAGTAAAACAGAAACAAACATACTGTACACTTTCCCTGCCTGCAGGCAAAAGATGGGGAATACTGTTCTAAATAAAAACAAATGCTCTTAAAGCTTCAGCATCCCACTCCCAGCCACACCCCATTCCATTGTCACACAGTGTGTTTCTGTAGCCAAAGGACACGCACACACACTGACTGCCTACACACAAATGAGACACTACTCTGCACGCAGCCCAAACAAGAAGACTAACAGTCACCAGGGACCATGAACATAAAAACCAGTAAGGAAAGTCAGGCTAGCAAAACATTACTACAAAACTAGTAAGTACCATAGCCAACAATTGCCCTGTTTTCAAATTTCACAGAGTTAAAACCCCTAAATCAATACTCCCCATTGCCACCCTCCAACACCCCAAAAGAAAACTTGCTGAAACACTGGTAAAGTTAGATGTTTCACAATAAAAGCTCATACTATATTATATAATCTCTTAAAATGAACCTTTTCATCCTTTCCATAGCATGAAACCGTTATGGCTTAATTATATTAAAAGTAGAAAAGTCTTTCCCACAGGAAATACAGTCTGCAAAGACGCACACACATTTCCTATCAGTGCTATGTCATACTTGACTACGCCTGTGTAGTCAAGAGCTGTTTGTAGAAAAACTGAGGTTACAGCATTCGATTCAGTCTAACCATAAACTGTAAGGCCCTTAGTTTGGTTTAGGATTCTTTTGCAAGATAAAATAACCTTGGGGTTCACTTAGCAAGTTACACCTCAGGTCCCTGACTGTATTGTGTCAGTGCATGTTCTTATTTTGCAGTGATTTATGAATGGGTGGATTTAGGATTTCCTTCTTCACTGTATGAGGCTATAGTTTTAGGTGCCCTCAGCATTAGAATTAAGTATGTTTCAATTGTCATTTATCATTTCAAGTGGCTTTTTTTATCTTTGGATATTCTTTGGATATACTTTTTACCTTCAAATTTCCTTTTTCTGCCATAGTAGAACGATTCTAGATTTTTTTTTTTTTGAGGCTGTTTTTCTCTGTAGTCCTGGCTGTCCTGGAGCTCACTTTATGGACTAGCATGGCCTTGAACTCAGAGATCCGCCTGCCTCTGCATCCCAAGTGCTGGGATTAATGGCGTGCGCCACCACCACCTGGCACTTCTCTAGATTCTTGTGCTTAATAATGCCTTTTCCATCTTTTTGTATATTCTTTGTCATTGAGTAGACATAAAAATGGTTTTTTAAAATACTTTACGAGCATGTACACCATCCATGTGTGTGCAGGTGCCCAGAGGCCAGAGGGTGTTGGACCTCCTAGAACTGGAGTTCCAGGTGGTTGTGAGCCCCCTAATGTGGGTGCTGAGAGCCAAACTTAACCACTGAGCCATCTTGCCAGCCTCTATAATTTTTTTTTGTTTAAAAATATTCTGGGTGCTAGATAGATGGATTAACATTGTATTATTAATTAGTTATTCTTTTATTATTGTATTAATAAATATTGGTAAATATAGGAGCTGGAGAGATGTGTCATTGGTGAATAGCCCTTGCTTTCCCTGGGGAATACTTAGGTTCAGTTCCCAGCATCTACTTCAGGATGAATGGATGCTCACAACCACCTCTAATTCCAGCTCTTGTGGGTCCGTTGCCATTTTTTTCCTGAGAACACTTCCACACATGTGTGCATACACTCATATAGCTACACACACACACACACATTACTTATAAAAGCAAAAAAATCAATCCTGACACTGTTACTTAGACTTAAAATTTGAGACAGGGCCTAACTTTGACAGACTTGTTTGTGTCTCTCTTCTAGAAGTCACATATGTGCTGGATGGATTCTCTGTGTGTCATGTTAGCCTTCTGCTCTGTATTGTGTGGCTCTGTTCCATGCTACATTCTAGGTATTTTCTTTGATTCTTCCATTTTAGCAATTCTTGGTAGCTTTTTCCGCCTCTCTCCATTTCTTCTCTTCTTTGGTCTTAGCCCCTAAGTTGTTACCTTTCTTTGTCCAGTTCCTATCTTTGTGGGTAATTAGTGTTAACACTTCTCAGAAAACTGTGGGAGTTGCTGCTGCAGGGAACACAATGGAGGATACGTCACACCCCTGGCCACAGGGTCCTAGCTTACTAACTGGTCAGTTTCACTGCTCTTGTAGTTACTCCGCCCTGTTCAGTCACACCTGTTAGTTAATCTGATGAAGGCTTATTGTTGTTTTGCTAAGACATTTAAATGGCTCATTTTTATGGTTTCCAGTTCTCAGAAGTTGTTTGGTCTGATTCTTTGAGTGGAGCAGCATGTGTCTGGTACCTCAACAGCTGGAGTCCCTTTGTGTATATCCGGTTCTGCTATTGTGTTTTTCAGTTTTTAGCTCTTGTTTTGTAAAAAAAATAGTTATTTCTTTAGAGCAGTTTCCACTTCTTAGCAAAAAGTGAGGGGAAGTTTAGGTTCTCATATGGCTTTTTTGTTGGCTTTTATTCATGTTATTCTGTCTTGTGCCTACATGTTTTTACTTGTGTGTCAGAAATTGTATTTGTGCAATTATTTTAGAAATACTTGCTGCCTCGCATTGTCTTTCCAAAGAGAATAATAGGTGTGTCTCTGCCAAGAGGACTGGCAGGCTGGTGTCACTGTGACCCAGTTTTGGGGCTGATCCTTCTGAAAGTCTGCAGTTCCTGGGGAAGGCGTGCCAGCTTGGGCTCAGTGTGAATCTGAATGGAGCAGCAGTGTGCACACTAAGAGAGGACTTATGTGGTTCCTGTCCTGTCAGCTTGAAGGTTGACCTTCCTTTGTAAAACAAACCCAAAGCCTGTTGACTCTGTCTTGTCAGCAGTGTCTCTAAGCAGAGATTTCTGATACTCCATCCAGTTTTTCTAGTTGGCTATTACCACTGAATTGGCTCAATAACCCACTTGAACGATACTCTAAGTGAAAGTCTCACTCCTTGGTTTTGTGTCTGAGAAACACGTGCACATCCCTCCTCTGCACTGAAGAACACTTATAATTTCATTTCTTTGATATGTAGCAACAATACCTTCTCATATATAGACACACACACAATATGTAAATATTTAATATTTGTATGTCAAGGCTGGAGAGATGGCTCAGCAGTTAAAGAACACTGGCTATTCTTAGAAAGGACCCTGGTTCAACTCCCAGTACCCGTATGGTGGCTCACAACTATCTGTAACTTTACTTTCTGGGAATCTAATGCTCTTTTGGCCTCCTCAGGCACTGTACAACATGCAAAGCACCCACACACATAAAAGATGTATATGGAGTCCAGCCTGGCCTGAAATTCACTGTTGTTGCAGAGGATGATTTGAGTTCCTGACCCTTCTGATTCCTCCAAATTCTGGGAATGTATGTGTAAACCACCAAAGCGGTTAGGTCTTACACATTCTCCCTGTGATCATCAGATTGGTTATCCTTAGCATTTGGATTAGGCCTGTATCATGTAAAGTTCTTGATAGTTGTTTAGGTTTTCAGACTGTCTGATATGGCTTTTTTGTTCTGTACCTCGTTAGACTGGCTATGCCTTCAGGGCATTTTATATTGAACTCTTTCTTTTTGTCTTAATTAGGGTTTCTACTGCTGCAACAAAACACCATGACCAAAGAGCAAGCTGGGGACGAAAGGGTTAATACCCCCCCCCCTTTTTTAAACTTCCATTTCAGCATTGCTGTTCATCACTGAAGGAGGGCAGGATCCTGGAGAAGGGGCTGATGGAGAGGCCATGGGCGGGATACTGCTTATTGGCTTGCTTCCCATGGCTTGCTTAGCCTGCCTTCTTAAAGAACCCAGGACCCATCCAGGAATGGTACCACCCACCATGGACTGGGTCCTCCCCAACTGATCACTAAATGAGAAAATGCTTTACAGCTGCATCTCAGGGCATTTCCTCAGCTGAGGCTCCTTCCTCTGATGACTCCATGGCTTGTGTCAAGGTGACACACAGTAACCCAGTATGCTTTTTGACTGGCTTCTTGCTATGTATCATGAAATTACAAATTTCTTTGCTAACTGGAGGGTGTGCGGATGGGAGCTGGGTGTCTCTAGCTTCCAGGTTCTTAAGGTCCAGAACAGCCAGCAGGCCTGGTGTGGGTTATGCTGCCCCTTCCCCTCCCTGCCTCAGGGAAGTGCAACCTGAGGCCTTCCCAGTGCAGCACCTCCTGCTTCTGCAAAATCAGAGGAAATGGTTGAGAGGGAGAAAAGAGCGTACTTTCTGTCGTCAGGTCAGATGCTAGGGCCAGTGATGACGTGTAAAGCCAGTTCCTTTCATGTAACTGTAAAAGCAGGAGCTGTTTAAAATACTCAAAAGATGTACCAAGGTCCAAAGAACTAAGGGGATTAAAAACTGCCTCAAATTGTGTGTTGTAGAGGTGACCATGGTGGACACTCTGTCTTTGGTCTCTCACATGTGTCGTATTGGTACTGGGGTTTCTGGGCAGGTTTATAATGCAGAACTGCATTTGCTTGTCTTGTTCTGTGGAAGAGCTAGTTCAGAAGCATGCACCTGTGCTTGGTCCAGCCCTGTCATCACCTGGCAGTCCTGTCTTTGTACAGTGGGATACCTCACTGCAAGCTGAGGATGCAGAATTAATAGATTCACAGCCCTAGAATGTGTCCAATATTGGCTATAATCACCATTTCCCCCAAATACACTGCATGCATCTTCTAGAAGGTACAGTGATTACTGCTGAATACTCAAATGTAGTCAACATATGGAAAAGCTGAGGCAACTTTCCCCTTCTCTCCTTCCCCAAAGATAGACTGGTTAACTCACTGATGGCAGGTCACAAGCCTCAGGGATCCAGTTGGGGTCCACACTCAGTAAGAGGTGAAAGGATACCGTGGAGGCTGGTGTGTGTATTGTATATTGTCACAGGGACTGTTTCCCACTGTGTCAGCCTAACTTCACCGTCAGGCTTTATCACAGAAAATAGTTGCTCTGTTTAGTGGAGAGGCCTTGTGACTCGGAGCTACCCTCTCTTTCCTCCACAGGTGCAGCAGTACCGGGTAGCTATGACCGCCAAGGACTGTTCCATCATGATCACACTCTCCCCTTATTTACAAGGCACAAGGTGAGGAACCATTGCATGACACCTTCCTTGGTCTAATGATTTTGTGGAACAATGCTGACAAAGAGACTCCCTTATTAGAAACCCTGCCTGATGGGGCTACTCTTTTTTTGAGACGGAGTATTGCTATGTAACAGTCCTGGAACTAGCTCTTGTAGACCAAACTGGCCTCAAACTCAGAGATCCACCTGCCTCTGCCTCTCCAGAGCTGGGGCTAAAGACTTGTGCCTCCACAGCCTGGCTTGGGGCTACTATATCTTTGTTAGAGTTGTTCTCAAAGGGCTTCATTTTTTTTCCCCCTGAAGGATGGGAGCTTTTGCATGTGTGTGTGGCAAGGGTGTGTGTGTGGGGGGGGATGTTTTGAGACAGGGTTTCTCTGTGTAGCCCTGGCTGTCCTGGAACTCACTTTCTGGACCAGGTTGGCCTTAAACTCACAAAGATTCTACCTCTGCCTTCAGAATGCTGGGATTACAGGTGTGTGCCACCATGCCCAGCTGGATGGGAACTTATTAACTCTTATTCTCTAGAAACTTGTGACTTAATTACAGGCATTTATGGATAATAAGACTTTTTCCTTTAAAATGATTATTATGTTTTATTAATATCTCTATTAAATTGGAATGTTCATTATTGTTTTATAAGAAAAAACTCTAGTAACCGAGTGTAAATAATGTGGCCAATTCCTTTCAGAGGAAGCCCAGGCTCCATTCAGGCTGAAGTGCTTGAACCTTTTAAAGATTGCAGAGCGTACTAACTTTCACAACTGTTACTGCCATTTTTAAACCTCTCAAACAGTGTATTCTTGTTCCTCTTCTGAATAACCAGCATGTTTGCCATCTTTCCCCCCACAAATGTTTGGCTAGTTGTTGTCACCTCCCCTAGCTTTTAGTGATTCATGCTGAGCCTCTTCGCCTTGTAGCATCTTCAGCCTTGATCTCCATGAATGCCAAACCCTACAGACTTCTCTGGAATCCTCCACATCTGACCTGTGTTCCTGGGTTAGGTGATTATCTTTCTGATGTTTCTGAGCTTTGTGTTTCCTAGTAAGGTTCTCTGGGAGGCACAGACAGCGCTGTACTGTCAGGTGCTGCATGTGAAGGGATAGTTAGGGCTGAAGGCAGTGGCTCTGGTTAGTTACAAGCTCCTGTCGTCCCTAAGAAAGACCCCAAGCTTAGCTGTGAGGAGCCCTTCAGTAGACTACGGATCTGTGCTAGAGGAGAGCTGCTCCCAAGCCTGGCCAGTGATGCAGCTGGGAAAGGGAAAGGTGTTGAGTGCAGGGTGCTCAGGTGGAAGCTGATTCAAAGTTCAAAGGTCAAGAGGCGGGAAGTTCAGGGCACCTGAAGGATACACTTGTGACTCATCCCCTCCAGCACTGTATCTGTGTGTGTGGTCCACAATTGTTTCTTTTGAGGAAAGCTGAAGGCTGGGTTCCTTTTCCACACCCTGACTCCGACTGCTCAGTAAATCAACATTTGCTGTGGGGGCAGAGGGTTGTGTGTCCAGATGGCTGGAGGCTCAGGATCACCAGCCACCAAGTACTGCATCTGCTCCCTCTGTTCCAGAGACTGGAAGATTGTCTCACTTTTATGCTTAAAATAAAACAAGACAGAAATACCATCACAGCTAGGAAATAGTAGACTCTCAGAGGTACATAGTTGGCCACAGTAGACACGCTCGATCTGATCAGCCTCTCACTTTTGCCTTTTTAATCTGGCAAGGAGTTAACAATCAAGGATGCTTAATGCGGACTTGCCCACCTTCCCAGTGTATGACCCAGCAGAACTTTGTCTCTGACTCTGCTTCTCAAATTCTCATTGCTAGAATCTTTAGAGGGGGCTGGAGGGATGGCCCAGAGGTTAAGAGCACTGACTGTTCTTCCAGAGGATCAGGGTTTGATTCCCAGCACCCACATGGCAGCTCACAACTGTCTGTGACTCCAGTTCCACGAAATCCAACACCCGCACACAAACATACGAAGGCAAAAACACCAATGTGCATAAAATAAATAAATTTAGAATCTTTAGAGGCTAGGAAAATTTTGATTTAAAAATTTGAAAACTGTACAACCAATATGGTTATGTGATATAATTTTGTATTAATATTTGATCTCTTAGCATCTCATCCTGAGCCCATTGTCAGGCTTGTTAGTTTATCTCATGTCACAACAAATACACTGATAAAATGAATTCAGTTTAAAGTCCACGATGAAAAATGGAAAAAGAAAATTAGGTAAAAAATCATTTCCATTCTTAAGTGTTTCATGAACACTGATTCAAGCTTATTTAATTTTAAAATGTGAAATGTTTAGAGCTTTTGAAAGTTTGAAAAGCTTTGCCATTTGGCATTATGCCTCTGTATACCTATTTTGTGGAAATTGAGAATTTGGTGACCAATTTGAAGAGAGATGGCAGACTAGGAAATTCTTACTTGTTTTTGCAGAGGATTCTGAAGAGGAATAATGGGCCCCGCCCTTGGAGGCTGCCTTACCTGCTAAGGTCCAGGTCTCAAGGCCAGACAATAGGGCTCATCAGGAGGCTCAAAGTTGGTGGTCCAGATCCACTTTGAAGCAGGAGCAAAGGAGCTAGGGGGATGGCAACAGGACACTCCAAGGTACCCTACTGCTGTGCTTGTCTGCCTGTGGAAGGAGCTGCAGAGTTTGAGATTAGATGTTCTCCACCCCCAATTTTACTTTGGAGAATATACACAGGCATGAGCCTTCTTTGAGGAGGGTGGTGCTGTGCTCCCCAGAATTGTACCTAGCTCCAGGAAATAACATTCAGGAAAACCAGAGATAAATTAGGACCGAGTTCATCCTAAGATGCATAGTAAACCCAAGGCTGAATTTATATCCCTGAATTTTAATGTATAGTCCACAAGCTTCTGTGGTTGCTATTTGTTTCCATTGCCTTCCTGTTGCTCCAGGCTTTTGAAGAGTTTGGAACTATCAGGGAAGTTCTCGTTGCTACTTGTCCCTAAACCCTGCCAAGTCTATTACAAACATGCGCTTTGGCTTCACTGTGTATCTCCCGGCCTCCCTCAAATCTGGTTAGTGTCTTGGAGAACAGCTATCAAGGTGAAGACAGCAGCTCCAGCCCCCAGATCATTCCAGTACCAGTTTCTAGGGCTACTACAGGGATAGGGATGTGGTCATGGCAGTAGGGTTGGGATGACTGTGCCCTGGCTTTTGCTGAGTTTTTGCCATATAGTCTGAAGGAGACAGACTTTTCAGTGTTAAGGGGCTAGTGTACACTGGCCTGTGTCCTTGACTGTTTTGGAGCTTGTGGTCAGTTGTCAGACCTGTGATCGAGCCAAACTCAATTTTTTCCCTATAAACAGGATTCTGGAGCAACAAATGCGGATCAAGGCTTTAGTGTACTTTAGAATAGGCCCATGTATGTCAGTGTTTGTTCTTCCAACTCAGGAGTTTTTGAAGCTTATTTTGTCTGTCTTGTTTTTAATGATGTCTAAGTGTACAGAGTAGTGAGCGTGGAGGAACCAGAACTCCCCAACAGTTCTCTTGTGCCAGCCTGGGATTAGATGCCATTCAGGCAGGAGTATGAATGCTATGTACTGTGTTTTCAGAACAGTTGGATGCACTGCAACCTCAGTATCAGGTTTAAGGTTATTCTGAAAAGGTTTTCAAGTCAGTGCTCATATTGTTATAAGCACATGACTTTCTGATGTTTATAAAATCCACAAAAGCCCTGAGGGGGAAAAAAAGCATTGAAGATGTGACTTGAGAGTTAACACAGAACTGCTTGCTCTCCAAATGTGAAAAGCACGAAGGAACTGGTTCTCAGCAGCAACAGGAAAGCACACAAAGAGAGTCTGTTCTCAGCAGCCATCCAGCTGGCTGTCGCACAGCCTGATCTACTCTTTACTTTTTCTTAGGTTTTGTAATACTTGGCTCACAATAAAGTGACTTTTCTTTTCCAGCATTCGTTAATACCACTGGAACATGGGGAATATCACTCACGCATTCCACATAATGGCTTTTCCACCTTTGGTTCTTTTAAACCTTCTTCCCAGACAGTGTACTGGCCTGTGGCCTAGCAGTCACTTACCTGTGCTAGTGTTTGAAGCTGCCCAGACAGGAGATGCATACAGACACAGAATGGGTGCTCTGAAAGCTGGGCTGGGAGGGCCTTTGGTCTGTGTAATCTGAAATTCTCTTGTTACTTGCAGCTCTGACCAGAGGCCTGTTATCCCTTCATCAAGGTCCCGGCTGGCCTTCTCTGTGTCTGTACTGGACCTCGACCTCAAGCCCTATGAGAGCATTCCTCACCAGTATAAACTGGACAGCAAGATCGTCAACTATTACTCAAAGACTGTGCATGCCAAAGATGACACTGTGAGGTCGACTCGGTTCAAGGAACATGAAGATTGCACATTAGTTCTCCACAAGGTCTAACTTTTTCCTCTGCGGTGTCTTTGAAACTTGAATGTGAAAGTTGAATGACAGAGCTATTTTTGGTTGTGTTGGGTGACTTGGCTGTGAATGTTTTTGCTTTTAACCCCTGCTGAGGTTAGACTGCCTCTCAGAGACAAGGAATTGAAGAGCACTAGAGTCTTCTAGGACAAGGAATGTAGGACGTGAGTGCTGTGTCCCAGCAAGCCATCTGTTTTCTTAGAGTGGAAGTGTCCGTTAAACCCAGGAAAACACCCTGGATAGTTCTTCCAAGCAGAGCTCACGTCTAATTCTCTAATGCAAAAAGCCTTATTATTAAGACCCAAGGTTTGGATCTCCTACCACCAGACTCTTGACATAAAAAACTTGAATTGTCACGAGTATCTTACCGTTTGGATTTTCAAGAAAACATGGATACTACTGGAACTTTCCCAGCTGTTAACTGGTTACATTTTCAATGCAAATCACACATCAACACAGGTATTGGGTAGTTCCCTGCTGCAGAGCGGTCAGGGGTTAGTGGGACATCGGTTCTGAGTGGTTTATACTCAGGTCCCTGTGGAGGTACTGAAGGGACAGCAGCAGGGAACATAGACTCAGGTCAGGTTAGACACCACTCACATGAGCATTGCTTTTTTGTTGTTTTTAAATTCTTCATTATGATTTTAACTCTAGGGGGAGCTGAGGCGTTCTTTCCTACCTGAAATTGCTGCTGTAGAGGCTGGAAGCAGAGCTGTAACTCAGAGCTGCTGTGGTTGGCTGGGTGGGTGTGCCTGACAGCCTGAATTCTCCTGGCACTCTGGTGTCTTGGGTGGTTGAGGAACAAGGTTCCCTTCCTCCTAAACCACATTCATCCCGGGGTTAGCTCTGGGACATATTGGGTATGTGGGTCTAGGGCCTTGCTGTTTTCATCAGGGCTATAGAAGGCTCCTGGCTGGCATTGAGGATTCTTATTAGGGTCACCAAAAGTGTGCCTGGCTGCTATGAAATCATTGGGAGTTTTGGCTTCATTTTTTTTAATCCTATGGTAGGCTGTACAGACTGATTATTTATATCATCCTTTTGAGAGACAAATGAAGGCTTATTGTAACATAGTAGTAAAAACCATGGAACTGTATGAAAATGCTATGTGAAAAATGAAGAAAATATTTTGCTGATTGTAAATTTTTGTGGGAAATTTTGTGATAATTTGAGAATTATACTTGTTTGATCAAGCGACCTCCTATAGAATTTATTAAATTCTGTCCTAATATTCTAACTATTGAACACTCAGGTAAAGACACTTGTACTTTTGGATCCTTGGCTTTCTTTTGACTGGTTGTATGCTGGGATATGTGCTTATAGCCTTCACTTGAGTCGTGTGCTTGAAGGTCATGTTCTCATGACTCTAGATGTGCAGGGGAAAGCAGCCTTCAGTTTTGTTTTGACTCAGTGTTGACTGATTTGGAGGTAGACTAGCCATGTGTATGTGTGCATGTGTGTGGTAGAGGTGTTACGCCTGAAACCACAGTACTGGTCTCAGGGTGGGTCCCAGGCTCTCAGGGCACGAAACTTTTACTGCTGAAACACTAGTCTCTCTTGGAGAATTACCATTTAGCAAGAGGCTAAAGATAGGTGGATAGAAACAAACAACCTCTCCTGGGGGTAAAGAACATGAAAGGAGCACCTTGCTGATGTAAAAACTTAACCATGTTCTTTTTTACTTGCTTCTTTTTCTTTTCCTTTTCTTTTGGCCTCGAACTCACAGAGATCCACCTGCCTCTGCCTCCCGAGTGCTGGGATTAAAGGCATGGGCCACCACTGCCCATTTATTTATTTTTTTGAGACAGGGTTTCTCTGTATAACAGTCCTCACTGTCCTAGAACTTGCTTTGTAGACCAGGATGGCCTTGAACTCACAGATCTGTAACTCTCTCCTGTCTACCAGTTTCCAAATAACCACTCTGAGGCTTACTTAATATTAATTATAAACTGTTTGGCTTGTTATTACAGGCTTATTATTAACTAGCTCTTCTTCCTTCCTTCTGTCCTTCCGTCCCTCCTCCCTGTAGTTTTAGAGGCGGTCCTAGAACTAGCCCTTGTAGATCAGGCTGACTTCCAATAGAACTCACAGAGATCCGCCTGCCTCTGCCTCCTGGGATTAAAGATGTGCCTCACCACTGCCCGGCTTAAATTACCAATTTCTATTAGTTTATATTTTACCATGAGACTTGTGGCTTGTTACTTTACATCTTGCTTCTCTAGCGGCTCCTGGCAGCTCTTCGACTCCGCCTTCCTTTTTCTTTTGCATCTGTTTAGGTTAAAAGCATGTGCCACCATTGCCCTGTCTAATCATGTTCTGATGTGCTCTGCTTAGTTCAGGATGCCCACACTAACCCATCATGTTGGCAGCAAAACAACAGGTAATGAAGGCACTCACCAAATGTTAGTTCTGTGTCTGAGATGATACAGCCTTAAACTGGGTAGTTCTTTTGTGGTGCTGGGGCCTTGTCCATGTTAGGTAACTGTTCTACTATAGAGGCACACTTTAGCCTTTGTTTTCCGAGACAGTGGCTCACTATGTAGCCAGGGTGGGCTTTAAACTTGGGTTGCTGTTGTGTGCTGGTGTTATAGTCCTGTACCACACTCAGACTGCGGGTGTGTCTTCAGTGAAGTTCCCAGTGAAAGGAACAATGCAGTCATCACTGTCAAACAGTTCTACTTTTGTAGGAACCAGGAGTGTTAGGACTTCTGGGAGATGTTGCTATGCAGACAAGGTGGGTGGCTTTGGACTGGACCGTATCCTATGCTGCCTTGGGCCATCTTGATGTGAGGTTAGAGGCATAGCTATTCTACACTTGTTTGAGAATGGACAGCCATTTTTGGAACATTTTCTCAAATGTTAAACTTACTTGTTCAAAGCACTATGCATGTTGCTTTTAACATATCTGAAAAGCTTTATTTTTATGCTATGAGAGTTCTGTGTAATTTACCACTAAAGCACACAAAAAGCATGTTTGAAGGATGTGGTTTCTCATTGGGAAAAGAGCAAATGTTTATATGTAGCATAGATCACATGTTCCTCAGCTGAGCATCTTATTCCTACATGCTTGCTAGCAGGGAGCTAGTCATTTTCTACACAAAGCAATTTTATCAGACTGTCAAGAGCAGCTTCAATTCCAAGTACTCCTAGTAGGCTTCGGAAACTCAGAGGAGCAGTTTCTATGATCTTGTTCTTGTCCAGCTCCAGGGCTGTGAAGAAAACACACCTGGTAAGAAACCTTATAGTGCCTGTCTAATAAGATCTTTTCCCCCCAATAGCCATACAGTGGGATGCCCTAGAGACAGGGTGGAGAAGACCAAAGAGTGCTGTCACCAGTAACTTTTGAGGCAGAGAAAATGCCTTGCTCCACACGTCTGCAAGGCCTCAGGACAGTAGTCCTCTCATGTGCTGTTTGGTGGTTACTGATTGAAGTATTTCAAAAGGTGATCTACAAAGTACATTAATGACAGTTTCAACTTTGATTCTTCCCATGTAAACCCAGATAAGACACTCAGATGGCTTTGTTGGGTATACTGAGAAGTCTTCCGGTAAGGGTGCCTGTAAACATGGAATCCTACCTCGCTCTGGGACTTTGGTGAGAAGATCCAGCTTCGGAAAAACCTTCCCTTCCTCATCTATTTGTATCTTCCAAACAATCACCAGTTCAAACCTGGAAAAAGGCAATATTTGGTGCTTTTGGAATTGGGAAAGATTAGCCTCTGAGCATATGGTTTCTGCTGGCCAGGATCACCTTCTCCTAAAGACTTCTCCCCTCAGAGGAAACCGTGTAGGAAAGCGTATGATAGATCTGGGGGTCAATTTGGAAACTTGGGCCACAGCAACACTTTGTACCCACACCATGGCCAACACCAATGTGATAAGTAATGGGACAGGCAACAGGACGTTCCTGGAAAATGATCTGAAATGGTTAGAAATCTGCACACGCTTTTTTCATGGTTGGAATTTTCTTATTCTAGGAGCAGCCCATGTGCCATATGGCAGGAGAAACAAATGAATAGCCCAAACCCTCAGGACCCGAGGAATACAGTCAGAACTCCACACTAGAGGATGAGGCATGAGAAGTGAACTGCAACCCCATGACAAAGACCAGCTCCAGCAGCCTGTGTAAGGATCTAGGTCCTGAAGAACATGCAGGCACATTTGTGAGCACAAAGGCAGAAGAAGGAAAGCAGGAGTGACAGTGGCTGTGGGCGAGTGCTGCCAAGAGTCTAGGTGCCCAGTGTAGAACTGCACCTGTTTATTTTGGCTTCTCTGAGGCTCTGATGACCTCTGGCTTCCTGCTTCTGCCTCTGTCATACCAGCAGACACACACACACACACACACACACACACACACACACACACACACACACCTACCTACCTCTACCTTCTTGGCTATACATATACAAAGGCCCTTGCTGCCCAAGGCCAGCATTTAGCTCCTCCAGCCCTGCACTCCTTCCTACTTTCTCTCTTCCTTCATGGCCACATAGCAGTCCATCTGCCCACTGTTTGGTATCTGCTGTGATTCCACCTATTTATCCATGGGATACTCTTTAATCTTCCTTAGGTAATTTCTTAGCCTCTCTTATGGACAGTCCTGGTCCCAGAACCTCTTGCTGCACAGACTTACCCTGGCTGTCTGGCACTGTGGATCTCCATGCAGTGGGAACAGGTGCCCTCCGAGAGGAACACACTATCTGGATACTTCTCCTGCATGTGAAAATAAATGGTTACAGTCTGATCCATCTAGAAGAAATAGCATCCTGAAAACCAGGAGAAACATTCTGAAGCCTGAGATGAAAGTGTTATATGTGCTATTCACTGGTGCCCACTCCTGTCCTCACCTATTTTGCCACCCCAGGAGCTCATGGCTATCCCTTTCCTGAGATCTCACAATATCACTGTACAGCTTCATTTTCAATTTATTTCTATTTCCGCCTGTCTACCACTTGGGATGACTACTTGCCTCAAGACTTGGATGAGCACCACAGCCTTTTGAGTTGAGGCTCATGTGGGTACTGGTTGCTATCCTGCTTCAGCAGATGCACCAACCTGTCTATCCTCACAACTCACCCAGATAAGCTTCTGCTCGAATCCTTAACATGAGCTAGGCCCCACCCAGCTGCCTATACTGTAGTGGAGGTATCAGGCTCCCTGGTTGCAGTGTTAATGTCTATAGAGAACAGGAATGGGTTGAATGTCACAGATTTCCTCAGATAGTATGACTGCTCTGGACATGTCTGCATGCTAGTTTTCCACAGCAAAACCTAGGAGGCTCTAGCATATTAGAACTGATACACTCATTTATATTCACCATGACAACAAAGTTTGTTTTCCAGGTATTTGAATGAAAGACAGATATAACTGATGTACATAGCAGTGGCCTTGTTGTCTGCTCTTGTGAAAAGAGACTATAGGGTTAGAGGATGAAGAACAAAGTCGAAGTTGCCCTCATCATGCGATTTTAGGCTTCAAGACCACCTTTGAAAGGTCCTTCCATGTATCCCCTCAGTGCCCGAAGAAGAGATGCTTCCCAGGTGATACATAAGTCAAGCAAGGACTGTAAGGTACAGCTGTTCCCGGGGCAGACAGAGAGCCACTGTCACCATAGGCTAGGGCTGGGACTTGGGGCAGATCCTTCTAGGACTGTATAGACTGGCTGGATTAAAGCAGTCTGGGTCCATCAAATAAGGTTTCATGGGGACAAAGATGTATTACTACTTCTGGGTAAGCCACTTCTGGCATGGAAAGCCAAGGCCGCCAGCATCTATGCGTGCAGCCACCAACAGAGAGCACATCCAGACACCAAAGCTGGGGTGGACTGGTGTACTTTACAGATAATTACTAATTTCAGCAAGACAAGTTTTTAGGAGAAAAATGTATACCTAAGTGATTTCCGTGGAAAGTGTTGGTTGATGTTTAAACCTCAGGCTCTTCTAAATTAATAACAACTGTTTGAGGAACGTAAAGGAGTTGTGTGTGAACGTGGCAGTTCAGCTTCCAGACTCTGCTTGGCAGCAGAACATGAGGCTCAAGGGAGTACTGGGGCTTGGGCTGGCTCCAAGGTGGGGCCTGAGGCTTGGCCTCCAAGCAGGAGGGAACTGATCTCCATTCCATAGGCCCCTCTGCCACATGAGTAAAAGGAAGACAAATTAGATGCTTTCACTAAAAAGTATACTCTTAGCTTTTATAATTTAGACAGCAATACTGACATCAGGCAGAGGGCAGGCATTCAAATGTATTTCTGGAAAGCTGGGGACTGCAAAAGCTTC